CTTCTAGACAGATGCAGCCAGCTGTGATGCAGCACAAGCTGCATCTCCGTTTGTTATGAAAGAAGCGATGCAGATTTTTTCTTCTGCATTCACAACGGCGTTTTAGACTCTACAAGGGCAACTGAAGAGGAGCATGCAATGATACATGATAAAAGGCCCTTGTGGTGCCTCCTGCCCGCCGACACTGTGACAGATTCTGTGCAGTACATGCAGGAGGCTGAGACTGCTCCCCAGCCCCCTTACATAGTGACGTCATATTGCCTCCATTCATGCTTGATAGAAGCAGGGCTACTAAAAGCTAGCCATCCTAGCAGATAGTTCCATTGTTCACTGCAGTTCTTTAAAGGCAGGGAGGAGAAAAGAAAAGTTGTCAATTTTAAATTGCATCTGTTGCATTCTAACTGTTCCAGTAATGCATTTTAATAATTTGAAGGAAAAAATGTACAATTAGATTTTTTTTATTGTCTCATTTGCCCTGACTCAACTAAAAGCATTTATTCAAATCATTTTTCGTTTTTGGAATAATGCAATGCAACCATTAAGGTACTCTCATGAGTAAATGTTACATCATCTAAATATCTAAACTACTTTGGATTGCCTTCTGAATGTCCCCAGTTTCTAATTAAATTGTTTTTGCAAACCTGTGATAAACTGGTGACCCGTCCAGGATGTCTCCCACCTGATGGCGTCTGGAGTCAAGCAGATGCTGTCTGCAAATGTAATGAAGATGAAGCAATTCAGAAAATGGATGGATGAGTGGATGGATGAGTGGATGGATAGACAGATGGAAGGATGACTGGATGGATAGACAGACCGATGGATGATTGGATGGATGATCACAACATGCCCTATAGGTTATTAATTGTAAGTCGCTTTGGATAAAAGCGTCTGCCAAATAAATAAACATAAACATTAACATAAACATAATGGTTAGATAGATGGATGGATTGATGACTGGATGGATAGATGGACAGATAGATGAATGGATGGATGATGGTTAAGATAGATGGATGGATTGATGACTGGATGGGTAGATGGACAGATAGATGAATGGATGGATGATGGTTAAGATGGATGGATGGATTGATGACTGGATGGATAGATGAACAAATGGATGAATGGATGGATTGATGAATGGATGGATAGATGGACAGATAGATGAATGGATGGATGATGGTTAAGATGGATGACAAATGGATGGATTGGTGAATTGATGCCAGATGGGTGGATGGATGGATTGGTGAATGGATGACAGATAGATGGATGAATTGATGAATTAATGGATTGATGACTGGATGGGTAGACAGACTGATGGATGAATGGATGGATGACGGTTGGTTGGATGGATGGATGGATGGATGGATGGATGGATGGATGGATGGATGGATGGATGGATGGATGGATGGATGGAAGGATGGATGGATGGATGGATGGATGGATGACAGAGGAATGGGTGAATGGATGGATGGATGGAAGGATGGAAGGATAGATGGATGGATGATGGAGGAATGGGTGAATGGATGGATGGATGGACATAGACTTTTGTGGTTGTAGGCCTATTTAACATTAAACATCAGCCAGGGATGTTACTGCAATTGAGCAAAACTAAAAAAGCAACGGCTTCATAACGGTCCAATCACAGTGCTCTATTAATTTGGTGGGCCAATCACAGCACTCTGTTGGCAGGCAGAATGTACCTGGAAAAAACAAATTGTTTGAAAGTTTGAAAGACATTCTGCAGCACAACCGAGGTCTGTCTATGTGTCTTGGCCAGACTGTGTCTTTACTCATATAGATGGCTTGCCAGGCTAAATGCAATGTCACCAGCAAAAGGCAGCAGTCGTAGGGCATCCAGGGGTCAAGTTGACTCAAAATCCTTAATATTTCTACCAAAAATGAGAAACTAATGGCAGTGAGAATGCTTAAATAAAATGGGAAATTTTGTAGACTGGAGCTACTGTAAATATTTCAGGGAAATTGTAACTAAAATATACACCATAGAGCAAACCGATCGTTTCACTAATTTAACTTTAATAAAGACTGATATCTATCTATAATAATCCTAATTATGATATGTGTTTAATTGTATTTACCTAAATGAAAATATGACGACAGACTGAATTCATTATTACTTTTTCCCTAATTAAAGAACCCATAAACAGGTCTAGACCTTTGCACCAACACAACCTAATTACAGCAGCTGATTGCACGATGATGTGTGTGCTTTAAATGGAGCTCTGATAGATGATTTCACCCCTAATAATAAACTGTCTGATTTAATTGACACTTTGCCGGCTGAAAAGCCAGCCTTAAATGTCTTTTCTTAAACTCCTCATAAAACCGACACCGCCATCAGACCCCTTAATGTCTCACAAGACATTGAGGAGAATAGACATGATGACTTGAACATAGAAAGGATGTTATTATTACAGCTCAAAAATTGAAAGCCTTTATTGTTCAAAAATACATATGTCAAAAAAGCCCAAAGATATTTGTTTTAATGCATTTAAAATATAAAATAATAAAAATATTAATTTTCAAAATAAATTCTAGTAAATTAAGTTGCTTCTTACAAAAATGTGATAGTTTCAATGTTCAGGAGTTGTGATTCAGGAGGTGAATTTTGCCTAAATTCACCCTACAGTGCCCTCTAGTGTATAAGCACAACTACAGCAGACCCAAACATTTGGACTAGATGTGGTCTTAACTCATATATGATGTTACGTGCAGCCCAGGACACCAACTTCTGGAGATTAATGGTTTAAAAAGTTCACTTTAATCAGTCCAGCTTAATTGCATCCGTTTCCACAGAAAACAGGCTGATGCAGCCTTTGATTGTTCAGTGATTTGAATTGCGTGGGATTTATGAAGTGGCTCTCGGTGATGTTGATGAAGACCAGGCAATCAGAGCTGAGGCGTTAGTGACACACAGGTCATTGAAACCCCTTTCAGCCTCTTTGCACGTGCTCACACTGAAGCCACATGCTCATTTCGGCCATTTTCTTTCATCCTGCTTGTTTTTGACTTCATCAAACTTGGTCTTTAAGGGTGGCGTTGTGTGTTCACCTTACACTATTTAAAAGCCAGTTATAGCCTGACAAAGGAAATACTTGCACGTTTCAGAGCAGAAACCGTGTTCCTGGTATTTTAGAGTTGTTTCGCTGTGTTCTCCTGTTGCCTCCAATAAAACACACAAACACATATTTCAGATGGCATGGCCCTGCGTGTCATACCTGTTGCTGCCCTTTGAACATATGTGACTCATCCTGTTTTGTTAAGGTCATCCTTGGAGGGAGATGTGATATGTTTCGAGCCATATATACACTCTCTGTTATCCTGCAGGAACGTGTGTGTGGGGTTGTGACCCGACCATACCCAGAGGAAGCTCTCAACCTTTTCAGCACTAAATGTTACTTACCTTTGCAGACTCCTCATCCATCCTCCTTCATTCCTTTTCTTTGGTCCGCTGTAAGTCAATACCATCATGCAAGGGATCCGTCAAGCATAACTGGACTCAGGCTCATGCATGCTCACATTGTTGATCTCAGACAGTATTTTAGCAGGAATGTGCATCACAAGTTAGTGTTTGTTCACAGCTAACCACAATTTACGCCAATGGTGTCATCAGTGGTGAAACTGGAAACATGGGGGCAAAATAGGTGCAAAAAGTCTGCGGGCTGGGTCTGGGAGATGCTCGCCCTGCAATGAGGCAGATGACGGGGAACAGCGCCTCTAACACAAACAATGGTTGCTGGAGAAGACAAGCATTTCCATAACTTGTGTTCTGGGCTCCATTCTTAGTAAATATGTGTAAAGTATTGAATAAAATGTTATGCTGCATCACTGACTTTATTTATTCTCTCACATTTACAAGTGGATCTTCAGAACCGTCTCCTAGTGTATTATGGGTAAAACTCGTCATCCACCAACATCATCATCATCATCATCATCATCATCATCATCATCATCATCATCACTTGTCAACAGATAGCAAACTAGGTGGCTAATGGAGGAAAGGAAATTGATTTGGTGTCAGGGATCATTTCAGTTCCATTGTCAGGACAGACAGACATTGTCAGAGAAACTGGACATCATTTAACCACTGGTTGGTTAGATGCTGCTGCTGTCTATCTTTGTGGGAACGTGCACGGTGTCAGAGAACTTGACTTTGTTCCTGTCCTGCATGGACTGAAGGTAATGTGGGCGAAGCATGCCTCACGGCAGTGATCCTCCTTTTTGCACAAAATGTGGCCACTCATGGAGCACGAGTCCGGCGTAGAAACCCACATCTAATCCAAAACGTTTGGGTCTGCTGTGGTTGTGTTTGAGGATGGATTTTATCAAAAATATCGGAAATTTTGACCAATAAATAACAAAAAACAAAAAAAAAATCAAATTTAGAAGTTTCTGTACCGGCCCTCTTAAAGCACTGGGTGGGAAGCTGGACGTTCCCGCAGCCTGGGAGATCTCTGACAGGTGAGGTGGGTGGAAGGCCACGACCAGCCGTCCTGAGATTATCTAGAATTCACAGCTGGCCAGTCTACCATTATATTATCATTATATCAGTAAACTGGCACTAAATGTCCAGCTACCAATTACAGGGCGCCACAGCTAATATGTTATCGAGATCTTTATGGATTTAAAGAGCCATTTACTTTTCCCCCGGCCCGGCTCTGATTTGTTCTAATGTTCCCAACAGCTGGAAACCTCGTCTGTTGTGACCTCCACACACTAGATGTTGCTTTGGTGTTCATGTTTCATATCCAGCCTTTAAGTTGCAAAGCTCTCCAGCAGGGGGGTTGTTGCCCCTGCTTACCCCCCCCCCCCCTGTAGCTTCACCTCTGGGTATTACATGTTTTCATTTGATGGGTAATTTATTATGTTTTTAAAACAGATGACAACGAATAAGCACTGAGGAGCAAAAAAGAAAAATATAAGCAGAAATTAACAAGTAAAGGAATCAAACCCAAGCAGCATCACAGTCACGTGACAGACTATGGGATTAGATTTGTGCCAATAGGATCAAGAAAAACACTTTGGAGAGCAAACAAATTTTAAGACATTGAGAGAAAAAACCTTGGTTTCAAAAGAAAAACTTACGATCTGAATCAGATTCTTAAAATGATCAAGAAAAACACTTTGACGGTCAAACAAAAATTAAGAAATTGACAGAACAAAAATATTGACTAAAGGAAAAAAACATGTTTCAAAAGTAAAACTTACTATCTGAATCAACTTCTTAAAATGAGTAACAAAGTATGTTTCCTTTTTCTGTTTGCCTCTATGTGTTTTTGTTATCAATTTCCTTAGTTTTGTTCTCTCTGCTCAGAGCTTTGCTCTCACTACCAGATTTGCACTTACACTGTCTGGCTTTCTCCTTTGCAATCCCTGAGTTTTTGGTTGCAATTCTGACACAACCCTTTCGGGTGGGCGGGACTTCTGAGAAGTCCTCTCCCATAGGACAGTGGTTTCTCTTGAGTGACAGTTCAGTGACCTGGAAGTGATGTAGCCTCCAAGACATTTTTTTCCACCTGGTCAACAACATGAATTTTGAGCCCCAAACAGGTTATTTCTGCTGTCTGTGGTGTCTACTGAGGATCTAAAGTGAGTATTGATAATATATTTTATCTTTTCTTAGTTCATCTGTAAGTTAAGCCACTTTTTAAGTTGGTTTTAACCAGACGCTAGCTCACTAGCTAGCTGCTAAGCAAGCCATTGTGCTAGCCTCAGGACAATGGACTATTGTTCCAGAGAGACGTATTAAAAACTCATCTTAACATATTCATTACTGGTTTCATGGAATAAATTATTGCGGTTTATGTTAATAAGTTTGCTAATTTTTCAGGAACCTGTGGAACATCAGAGACTTTGCAGCTATTAGAGCTAACCTGTGTACTGCTAACTTGCTACAGAGGAAGCAGCAGAAAGCTGAGCTAACAGGCTGTTTTGCAGGTAAATACTCTTTTAGTGGAACTGCAGGACTTTTATGGTATAACTCAGAATTTACATGAGCTATTGTGGGAAGACTTTTAAACTACATTTACATACAGATACATGTATTTTTTATTCCATGTTACTTGGACGGGCTAAACAAGTTCATAGTTCTGCCTGCTCCTTTTTCAGTGAAACGAATGGATTATATGATGTAACTCTCTAGTAAATCTATAGTAACCATAGTCTGGTGACTAGTGTCTATTTTAGCTACATTTAGCTTAGCTGGAGTAATATAGTCTAACTCTGCCTCAACTGGTGACTTTTTTACTTCATTGTCAGCCAGACAAAATGTTGCTACAGAGAAACGCCCAAGGTACTGATCCCACAATAGAAAATCATAATGTCCACATTTATTTCCCACAATCTCAAACGTCACACTAAAATTAAACTTTTAGCTCTGATTTAATTATTTCCTTATTGATATCAGTTTTCCCTTTGTTGTAGGTAATCCTCGGGTGTCAGCTGGAGGAGGTGACCACCTGCATAACGGAGCACCCTGGTTCTGAGCCAGTTGCACCTTTGTGCAGCTCTTTGGGGAGACGATGCTCAGCAGGTTAAACAACTGTAAAATTGATTTTGTTCGTAGTTTTTGTTTAATCTCTTACATCACCAGTTTTTCTTTCTTACAGACACATTTCTCCATGTGGTCAGGTGGTGTTGGTGTGATCTGTGAGGGCACACTCATGTCGTCATCTCTTTGTGCCGTCTCCAGGATCCTGATGGGAGTTCTCTGTGCCTATAAAGCAGGAGTATTTACTTCTGGGCCTGGAGGGCCGGTATCCAGCACGTTTTAGTTTTAACTCCGTTTCAATACACCTGATTTCAGTCAGCAGATAATTAACAGGCTTCTGCAGAGCTGCTGCACAGGTAATTCAACCACTGATTCAAGTGTGTTGGAGCAGGGAAACAACTAAAACGTGCTGGATACCAGCCATCCAGGACTAGAATTGAATACCCCTGCTATAAAGCCTTCCTCCCTCCTCCGGACTTTAAACATTAGTGTTTTATTACGGTTTACCTGATTTAGTAAATAAATCTCAATTTATAAATTTCCTGTTTTGGTGCCTGTCCATAAAATCCTGCATTAGACACCGAAAGCTGAATGGATGCCTTTCATTCACTTTGACATTCAATGTATTTTTAAAGATACACTTGAAATTAATATCAGCTGTTTAACAGAGTGGTGCAAAGTAATTGCTGATGTCATGATTTTTGCAACAACCTGACCTTCATGCAGAGAAACTCAGGAGACAAATGAGCTAAAAACAGTTTATTAAAATGTTTGACGGATGACTGAAGAGGTAACAGCTGGAGATCAGGAACCAGAAGCTTCTGCGAGGAAGAGCAGAGGTTAGTAAGAGGCAACAGGTCAGGTTTTTCTTAGACTGTGCAGGTAGCTTACAGAGTCTGAGAAACGCCACAGAGATGGAGCCACAGGTTTTAGTGTTTAAAGATCAGAAGGCCCTGAGGTAAAATTGAGTGTTAGTAATGACTAAAGAATGACTTACAAAAGGAAAAGTTTAGGTACTTACGGTCTAAAATTGTAGCGCAGACGGGAGACAGCAGAATGGTGGCGAAACAACCAGAAGTCTGGGAGAATGACAGCATGAGTAGCAAGCGGGTGAGCAGAAGGTAGTGGGTAAGCCGACTGCCAGTATGGTTGTGTGATCAGGAGCTTCAAGGAAAGAATTCCCATAGATCTGCATAGAACATGAGAACGTAAGTTTGAAAAACGGCAGAGTCATGGGCTAGATATGGGTTAAAACACTCTGATGAGTGACCAGCTACCAGCTTTTATTCAAGGATGGGGTTACAGGTGTGTGAGGATGTGCCTGCCCCATGAGAAGAGTTTTCAGGTAAGCCTCTCCATGGTGCTCTGCAATGGTGACTAGCAAGGCTAATGAAGAGATTAAAGGGAACACAAACCCAGGACTCCGACCCAAACTCCTAACAGCAACACAACGACTCCTCCCACAGGCGGTTGTTCCACTGAGCACGCAGCTGCCCGAAGTTCAGCATCAGGCAACCTGTAGGCGATGTAATCATACGTGGCTTCTGAGCATGCAAGTTTATTCTAACTGTACAGCGTACAATAATAATAAAGATTTATATTGTGTTGTGTTGCTCACCTTACAGGTTCTTTTAAAATATTATCCTGTGCCTGCTTACAGCAGGTCTTTCAGGTCTTTTGAACTAGACACAGAGGTTCAGGCACAGGTACTTAGTCAGACTCCTGATATGGTAGAGCATCCACCACCACCGACTCCTGATATGATAGAGCATCCACCACCACGGACTCGAACAATAGGTCCATATGCTTGTCAACTGGAAACAATGGAAAAAGATTACCATTAGTACAGATATTGATCCATAACCATCACTGTGGGTTTATTATACAGCATATGAACTACATGAGGTGGGATTGGTCTGCAGTAGGGATGTTTATTTTTGACAGAATTTATTGTTGGAATATTCAATAAACAGTCCAAACTGATACTTAACATATATAACATGAGTTTCTGAACCATAATAGCGAGATTTAAATTTCAATGGTGGAAACAAAACCCAATGCACACTGCTGCCAACTAGCGGGCCACATTTAAAATGCACCAAAAACAAAGAAAATACACAAATGTTTGCATGTAAATTCTTCCAAAAATTAGATACACTGCTTTTGAAAATGGATGTAATATCTCAGGAAAAAATATCACGATATATTGCCATATCGATATTTTAGAGACAGAGTTCGAGAATATCGATACAATATTACTGGGAAAATACATCGCGATATATTGTCATATTGATATATGATATTTTCTTACATCCCTTGTCTGCAGTGTACTTTGTGTACACTATGGTGTGTCTTAGCTCACCAGCTGCAGTTGATGCATGTGGCTGTGTAGCACTTCCATTGTAATGCAATGCAGCAGTTTTCAATCTGAAAAGAAAGAATAAATAAATAAAAAATAGCTTTTAGACAAAAATATAGATTTTATGTAAAAATTAATTAAAAGCATGTATTTAACTCATTATTGATTATCTGTCCTGGATAACATTCTTTTCATGGAGAATACAGAGCACGTGACAGAAAGCACATTGAATCTGATTTGTCTTGTTCTGACAAACAAATGTCAGATCTGTATACTGGAAAGAAATGTATTATCAAACATACTCACTTAGATAATTATTCAGTCAGAGTTACATCATAAAATCCATTCGTTTCACTGAAAAAGGAGCAGGCAGAACTATGAACTTGTTTAGCCCGTCCAAGTAACATGGAATAAAAAAATACATGTATCTGTATGTAAATGTAGTTTAAATGTCTTCCCACAATAGCTCATGTAGATTCTGTCTGAGTTATACCATAAAAATCCTGCAGTTCCACTAAAAGAGTATTTACCTGCAAAACAGCCTGTTAGCTCAGCTTTCTGCTGCTTCCTCTGTAGCAAGTTAGCAGTACACAGGTTAGCTCTAATAGCTGCAAAGTCTCTGATGTTCCACAGGTTCCTGAAAAATTAGCAAACTTATTAACATAAACTGCAGTAATTAATTCCATGAAACCAGTAATGAATATGTTAAGATGAGTTTTTAATACGTCTCTCTGGAACAATAGTCCATTGTCCTGAGGCTAGCACAATGGCTTGCTTAGCAGCTAGCTAGTGAGCTAGCATCTGGTTAAAACCAACTTAAAAAGTGGCTTAACTTACAGATGAACTAAGAAAAGATAAAATATATTATCAATACTCACTTTAGATCTTCAGTAGACACCACAGACAGCAGAAATAACCTGTTTGGGGCTCAAAATTCATGGTGTTGACCAGGTGGGGAAAAAAAAATGTCTTGGAGGCTACATCACTTCCAGGTCACTGAACTATCACTCAAGAGAAACCACTGTCCTATGGTAGAGGACTTCTCAGAAGTCCCGCCCACCCGAAAGGGTTGTGTCAGAATTGCAACCAAAAACTCAGGGATTGCAAAGGAGAAAGCCAGACAGTGTAAGTGCAAATCTGGAAGTGAGAGCAAAGCTCTGAGCAGAGAGAACAAAACTAAGGAAATTGATAACAAAAACACATAGAGGCAAACAGAAAAAGGAAACATACTTTGTTACTCATTTTAAGAAGTTTATTCAGATAGTAAGTTTTACTTTTGAAACATGTTTTTTTCCTTTAGTCAATATTTTTGTTCTGTCAATTTCTTAATTTTTGTTTGACCGTCACAGTGATTTTCTTGATCATTTTAAGAATCTGATTCAGATCGTAAGTTTTTCTTTTGAAACCAAGGTTTTTTCTCTCAGTGTCTTAAAATTTGTTTGCTCTCCAAAGTGTTTTTCTTGATCCTATTGGCACAAATCTAATCCCATAACAGACAGGCTGCAGATGACTTTTTAAAAACTAAATTATAATCACGTTTGTTCATTTGCATCACAAATCTCCTGGTTTGAGTCCATTAAATAAAATATAGTCAGGGAATGCTTATAATGAGGTTTATTAAAGGATTTACAATCTCAAATGTAGTCTGCAGCTGAACTGAACAGCTGCATTGAAAGATGTCTTTTGTAATCTGATTTAGGGAAGCCACAATAAAAATTAAAAAGATGCATGTTTCTAAAAACAATCATTTGAACTAAGTAAAGTAACGTCTCCAGAAAAGGTTTAGAAAAGTGAACCCTTCAGTGGAAATTCTGATTGATCACCTTTACAAAAACGGTACCTTGTGAGGATCGCGCATCCACTGAACGAGCTTTTGTATTAAAAGTGAGTTAGACAATTTCTTCTTTTTTAAGTGAAAGTGTTTTTCCACACTTCCTGAGACGCACACTCCTCCATCATGACGCAGTGACGTTACCTCCTGAATCACTCTGAAATATGTGCGTAAATATCATCAATCGGGAGCCTAATTACAGAATATAAGCGATCATTTGTCTGCACCGTTTTCTCATTTTGCGCCGTGGCAGATGTTTTTGAGTGTGAGCCGCCGACGCACAGCTGGATCAGGAGGGGCGCGTAAACTTTGGCCGTTCCAGTCAGACGCATCGGGAACTTCGGCAGCTCTCTGCGTCCTCGCCCATCAGGAGACACCGAGTATGCTGCAGATTTTATAGCTCAAGTTAGAACAAGTTGATTTGTCGCAGCGTTCAGGATTAATTCAGCCCATTCGGTTCAAGCCTGACATTTCTGGTATCATGGGAGGAGTGTGCCGGTGTTATTCATGGACTTGCAGACCGCTCTGGCCACTTTTTATGTTCCTGGCTGCTGCGCCTGGTTTGTTGCTCTGCTCAGAGAATCCAGCTGAAGTTGTTGGGAAAATGTATCCACGAGGAAATCACTGGGCAGTAGGTAAGGAGAGCAAGGACAGGTTCAATGTCTGCTATTTGTCTGGTTTTACCCTCGGAGGGGATTATTAAGGAACAGAACAAAAAATGTCCTCAAAATCCTGCAAAAGTAAGCTCTTTAATACAGTTTTTAGAGTTCCTGATCATTTTAAATGTGATATATGCCGGAAATATTTGCAGCTGGGAGGTTTAAAATGAACAATCATATTTCCATTTTTACATAGTCTGAGTCTACTATTCCAGTCTTGTTTGTAACTATTGATGTTAGTCATGCAACGTGAATACAAATATTAGAACCCATTAAACTGCTTACCCATTGAAGCAGATACAAATAGAGCCAAAAGAGCATGACTGTGTTTCATTTTCAGGTCATTTGATGGGGAAGAAGAGCATCAAGAGCTTGCCTGAGCAGCAGGAGACCAACAGTTACAGCCTCTACCTCACACCCTCACACTCAGCGAGGATCTCTGAGCTGGACCAACAGGAGCCACCTTTAGAGAATCTGCCCACACAAAGACAAAGGACGCTTCAAAGGCTCTTCCACAGCATCTGGAGGGAAGTCGATGGAGAAAAACATCTCCAAGAGGTCAGTTTGTAGATTTAAACGTTCTTTTCAATATTTAATCCAGCAAGAAGGCAAACTCAAATAACATTTTTTTATTTATTCACTGTTCTACAGATGTCCAACCTGCTTCTTCTGGCTCTGAAACTGCAAGAAAATACCTCTTTGTGAATGCAGAACAGGTGTTGGCTGCACTAACTCCACTCTGTAACCTCACATGTGAACATTTTGTGCCGTTAGAAAATAAATAAATAAATAAATAAATAAATAATGGTTTCATGATTAGTTTTCTATATGCAAATGAAGCGCTCCGACTGACCGGTGACAAGGTTGTGTTACATAAAAATACATTTAAATTGTGATAACTGCATTGTGGATGTCAAATCATGATTCACACATCTTTGACTTTTATAAAGCGTGCACACACACACACACACACACACACACACACACACACACACACACACACACACACACACACACACACACACACACACACACACACACACGTCTGTCTTTCTATCATAGTGAGGACCCTCCATTGACTTCCATTCAGTTTTGTGATTTCACCATGCCCAACCCATCCCCTAACCCTAACCATAACCAACACTGATCTATTCCTAACCCTAACCTTAACTAAAACTTAATTCACACTATACCTCTAACTGGTATGGTAAGCTTCTGGTATGCTTCTAAAAAAATTGAGGACCAAAAATGAAACTTTGAAAAATGTCCTCACTTTGTAGAGAAATGGGTCAAAATGGTCTTCAGTGTGTAGTATGTACAAGAACACACACACACACACACACACACACACACACACACACACACACACACACACACACACACACACACACACACACACACACACACACACACACACACACACACACACACAGCTACTGGGTATCTATGAGAAACACTTGTCACAATAAAAATAGTTTATTCCGGATTCTTCAATCACCAGATGCAACCACTAGATGGCGCGCTTTATCAGTTTTATTAGCAGCTGCATAACAGACACTTTGCAGTAAAGCTGGCCTGGCGAGCCAGACTAAATAAATGTATTATTTAAAAATTTGCAAACTTTGCAAAGAAAGAATTTGGTCTAGTTCACTAGGCTAGCCTAAAGCATGACCACAAGTGGAAGTAAAAAAATAAAAACGCTTTCAGAGCAGATTAAAGTCTGGTGATGGGGAGAGGAAACCTCACACAGATAAAAAACAAATAAAATAAAATAAAACACCATGGTGTGATGTTTCTGTATGGAACAGTTGAATAGCTCTCACTAAAACAAAAAAGAAGATACTAGATGAAAACGTTTGATGAAACGCATTTCTTTGAGGCCAAAGGGAGGAAAATAAACCTCCATTCCTTTACTCATTTGTTACAGATGATGCAGAACAGAAAAACTAACCACTTTCAGCCCTTATCCCAGGAGGCAATGTGAGTCTGTTTATGGGAGTTAATGAGGAGGAAGTCAAGGACTTTAGGATCGTATGTATAAATCATCCACTCTGTTTATGATGACAGATTTAAACTCATCCAGTTTTTGGAAGTTTACTTTACTATAACCTCAAAATCAACAGTTTGCTTGTTTTTATACAAACGCTGATTGTCAACAGGGAGCCTGAGTCCTTTCCGGTCGGCTCATGGGTTCCCGGAACAAAGAAAAACTTTGCCTTACGTCCCGAAACACAAAAAAAGTTCATAATTAAAACAACTACAAATCAGACGTCGCACATATGACGTCACTGCAGAAGCTCTTTTCCTACAGCGTAGCTGCTTCCTAGCCAGATTTATAGTGTTTTCCTCACGTTTAATGCTCTTTTGTCGTCCTGGAAGAAGTATTTGAAACTCATTTAACTCACAGCTACTTCTACTTCCCCGTGTCTGGCTTGATGACGTCAATATGGTGAGACGTACATTTGTAGTCCTCTAGGTCTTTTCACGTAAAGCCTAAAGTAATTACTTTAACCTTTAACCTTTGCTGCCTGATGAAAATGAGCATTTCCTTGGCATCAAAGTGTGCTTTTAAAATTCACGGACAACCTATGTTTTAACCAAGGCACCTATCAAAATCATTAGAAAATAACTTTTATCGGCCCACAGGCGCTCTTTTTGTTTGGCAGTATAGAGGCCCACGTCACTTGGATGGGCATGAGTCCTTGTGCTGTCAGATTTATTCCTTTATTTGTTTATTTGCTCTGGGGTCAGAGATTGCCACCACTAGAGGGCACTATATGTAATAATTTTCATTCTACAATCCGAAAAAGATCAAATTTGACAGCAAACACATTTTAAGCAGCAATTGGATGTATTTTGGTTTTTTGTTCATGATAAATTAACCTTTCATCAAATTAACAACATTAAAGATGACAACTTTTTGAAGGCAATTTGGAGAAATTATAAATGAATGAATTGAATTTTGATGAAGGATTTTTTTGTAGACAGAAAAAAGAAAATCTAATTTTATCATGAAAGTACACAATCTGAATCAGACGGTTTTTGGCGCCACTGAGGAAAACAAACAGAAGCAGCGTAATATTAATATGTTGTTTTATGGGACACAAAGAAGAAACAGAGCAAAACAAATTACAGAGATTGTAAATAAAAGACACACAAGATAACAGGTTTTAATTTATTATAATTTACAGGGTTTTTATGAAGCGTCTCACGGGTTCTCTGGTGTGTTTTCAGGAATTCTCAAAGTCGTTTCTTTAAAGGCAAATTCCAGATCTGACCATCGCATCTGCAGGATGATAAAGTTTCCTGGGAAAATTCAACGTGTCCATTTAAAGCTCCACTCAGAATCACCACGACTTTCCAATAGACTGAATGTGTTCCTTAGCCTTCATCCTCAGACAGGCAATGCTGGAGTTCCTGGGGTTAACAGAGCACTGGTATGGTGGGGGTGGGGGGCATATGGAGCTGATGTGGGGCAGGTGAGGACTGTGTCCCAAGACTGGGGAGCTGAAGAAAGAGGCCGGCAAGGAGGGAGGTATGGATGGAGGAGGAGGTGGAGGAGGTGGGGAAGCAGCGTATGTGCCTGGGAGGCTGTGTGAGCTGCTTATGAAGCCTGGCAGCGACTGCAGGGAGGCAGAGGAGGTGATCGGGGTGGAGAGCCAGGGGTCCAGTTGAAGCCCGGAGGCCAGGCAGCTGGTGGAGGATCGGCTGAAGGAGAGCAGGGAGGAGGATGGGGTGTCCTGCAGCTTAATGGAGCCCACCTCCAACTTCTCCTGGCGACGCCACTTGGCTCGACGGTTTTGGAACCACACCTACAAAAGAAAAAAATATTTAGGAACCTTCTGAGACCCAAAAAGAACCTTAGCTGTTGGAGACCCCTGGTAGCCAGTGGTGTCTCCAGAGAATTTTCATAGGGGGCGCCAGATGGGTTAAACTGTCGGGGTGGCACCAATGGTTCGGGTGACTCTAGTTTACTCTGTCGCTGTGCATTACATCGCTCCTTCATTATTTTTCATTTAAATGCAAAAAGTAGATGTATACAGAACCTTCCCCTCAAATTTAAGAAATTCAAACATAAAAAAAATTTAAAAAAAATAAAAAACAGACGAAGTTCTAAACGTTTCAACTTTTGATTTAGATTTTATTATTTTAGAATTTTAAAACAATTTAATATGCCTGTTTGTGTTTCAACAAAAAAAAAACATTGGGATTTAAACCTTTGAAGACATCAGTGGTGCCCGTGATCATCGGAGCACTCCAGGCAGTAACCCCCCAGACTGGAGGAGTGGCTAAAGCAGACCCCGGAAAAACATCTCAGAAAAGTTCAGTTCCAGGAACAGCAAAGATACTGCACAGAAATCTCAAGCTCCAGGCTTCTGGTAGAGGACCTGAGCTGGAAGGATGAGACCACCCGTGGAGGGTGGCAGACATTTAGATAAAAATGTGAAAACATCATTAAGATGTCTCTCACCTTAATAAACTGGACATTAAAAAAATCGGAAACAATTCTTGACTTTAAATCAGCTGTTTGCCCTTTATTTAAACGTGTTGTGTTTTTTCATGTTTTTGTTATTTTGGTTTATTTGTCTTTTAACAATGTTTTAACTTTAAGGTCGTTGTGATTTTAGGAGCTTTAGAAATAAACTTTAGCAACTTAATCACATGTAACCTATGTATTAGTTTGTTGTTTATTTAAGACCAAATTAATGATGGGGGTTTCTTTTAGTTTTGATCAAAATCAATCAATAAAAATCTAATTAAAGGGCTGAATGGTCCCGGTTATAAGATGCTGCGGGTTTTACAGAACCCACCTGGACTCGAACCTCTGGCAGGTTGACCTTCAGGGCCAGCTCCTCTCTGCTGTACACATCCGGGTAGTGGGACTTCTCAAAAGCCCGCTCCAGTTCGTGGAGCTGGAAGGTTGTGAAGGTGGTTCGGTTCCGGCGGTGTTTCTTCTTGTGGCTTTCATCGTCGGACAGTTTCCCGTCCCGGTCCGGTGAATCCGGGCCCACAGAGGGCTCACCGGCGCCGCTGCCGCAGCAGCACGCACCTGCGGGGAGAAGACCAGCGCTGTTAGGACTCAAACAACGAGTTTTGACTTATTATTATTACTATTTTATTTTTATAATAATAATAATAATAATAATAATAATAACTCAGATCAACCTTTTAAAAAGGGCGTAATTGAGGACTTCCATTCAAGGGCGCGCCTGATGTTTTTATTTATCTTGGGTGAAAATTACATTTTTAGGGTTACCAACAGATTCAGAACACTACTCTAACTGAGCCTATATTATTTATTAATCGGCTAAATAAAAAACAAAATGAGAACAACTTACTGTCACAAGTTTCTGAGAAGTGACCTTTCTTCCTTTGGGTCACAACCTCATTCCGGCCGCGCTCCGCGTCTCTGACTTTTTCCATCACGGAGCAAGAGGAGGACTTATGGAAGAGGATGTCCTCCTTGAAGCCCAGTATGGCCTCGATGCTGTGGACAGTGGACGGGTTGTTCCCCGGACTCTGCACGGAGCGCGCGGAGGTAGACTCATCCATCATCATCATCATTTGGGAAGTTGATCCAAGAAGCCACATTGGTTAAAGTCCCGAGTAGCCAGAGTTTTCCAACTTTATCCCGCTTCTGGTTTCAGTCCAGGAATGTTTGGGGAAATTACGCACACGTTTTCTTCCTCATTAGTCATGATGCTTCTTTGCTGTGGGGCTTTAAGTAGCGAGGCACCCCCTGTGCGTGACGTCACAGAGGAGACGTCCTGTTAGATTTGGTCCTGTTGGATTTAAAGTGCGTGTGTGTGTGTGTGTGTGTGTGTGTGTGTGTGTGTGTGTGTGTGTGTAGAGGGGTGGGGGGTGTCAGGCACCAGCCTTCACTGTCCCATAAACTCCTCCCCATCCCAAGTGCATGGGTCTAAACCTACTTACATAAATCTTAAAACCATCTTTCCACGTCTCCAGATGTCATTTTTCATGTCAGTTTATGGAAAAAGAGGAAGATTAAAGCCGCAGATTAAGATGCAACCAAATCATAATTACATGATTTCTGATCAGGGCACGGATTGCAAGATGAAAGCTTAAGATTTAATCAAACCGTCAAGATATTGTTGCCAAAATCTGATCGGACTTTATTCAATGAAATTTTTGTTTTGTTGATCTACAAATACAAGTAACTAAAAGTATTATTGGAAAACTAATAAAAAGCAATTAAACAGCCATTGAAAAAAACATTTAGCCTTTTGAACAAAGTGTTGTGCCAAATAAGGTGACAAAGCCCAACCAATAACAGTTTTAGGCTGCGGCCACTTAACAGCAAACAAAGATTGACAGCAGTGTGGTAATCCTGCTTAAGGGGATTACATCATTTTACTCAAAAGAATTAAAACCTCTAAAACTATTCAGATTTTCCTAATTAAAGCAGCTGACCTTTGTTAGCCACACAGACAACCAGGCCTTGAATAGAAGCGAGAACTGAAGGAAGAAACAACAAAATACACAGCTCAGCTCTACTTATGGAGCTAAAACACTCAGAGATTAGCTTTTGTTTGGTTATTTGGTTTTTGTGAAGTTTGACTTTTTCAACTCATCAAAGCAACATCAAATGCAGATATTGTCCAACAGTTGGTTTTTCTTTGGGATTTATGACTTGGTTCTAAATCCAGATGTGAGAATTTAAACTTTTGTTTTTTATTGACTAATTCAAACGAGCGGAGACACATGATAGACTTTCAGATTATTACTCATTAGCTCCATTTCCCGGCCAGTCAGCCTTAACAGCTGTTTGATCACCAGCCCAATGAACTATTGATCCAATTGATGTGTAAAAATGTCAGATTTATTATAAAATAAACTTTTCCCTGTTTCCATCTGCTTCTATGTAAGTTTTGAGTTTGTGAAAATGACTTCATGAGCTTTCAGGTGAAACTAGTCAGGTTAAAAACTGGGTCTAACTCATCCATTCATCTGCTTATCCACCCACCCGTCCGTCCGTCCATCCATCCATCCAAGTTCCTATCTCTAGAGCGTCTTTCACTCTGCGTACTGCTTCCAGATGGGCTGCCATCCACACTGACTGTGGTTCGTGCTCTAAAGATCTCTAGAAGTCTATTCCTACAAAAGCACTAAACGGTTAGAAATCGACACGACACGTTTAAACATATACCTGTAAAAATACCGGTAGCTATCGCATCCTGTGGACTGATATCTCCGGCATTAATGATGAGACAAAAACTGGCAAAATTGATGTAACACCGGTTTTTATTTTTGAAGAATATCTGATGATGCACCTCGCTGATTCACATCTGGCTCGTGTCATTTCTTTAACCATGTGGCAATCCGTATTCAGCTTCTGGAAAAAATTAGACACTATGCAGACACTTCCCGGAGATCCGCATGCGGATCTGTGCTGCACCGCAGCCGATGAGAACAATCTGATTGGAATAAGTGATTGTTGATCTGCGCAGAAGCAGTACGGACACTGGACTGCATCCATTCCACACCCAGTGTAAAACAGGCTTAAAGTCATTGTCCAGAATATTTATTTAATCTGAAGGCACCACCTAATGGCTGACAAGCGTATCACATCTTGGCATACTTTCAATTCCGTATTTCTGGCCGAAAGCTCCTCTAACCAACCAAACAGAGCTAAAACACGATGTTTTACACTTACGCTCACGTTATGTTGTTTTCATGCATTTAGATTTTAAAGACTTAACTCCACGAGAAAGGTCGCAACCCTGCATCAACCAAGGTACGTCCTCAAATGCTCAAGCACACTCTGTGATTAACGTCTGTGCATAAGTGGTAGTCTAACGCCATTGGTTAATGCTGTCACTCAGTTCATATTGCATTAAGCTCTACAAGACAGGGGTGGGCTCAGCAAAATACAAAGACGTATTTCCTACATTATATCAGTAAATAATAAGACAATCACTTTTATGTGTTTCTGAAAAATCACACATAATTCCTGAAAGGGAAAAACTCCAGATAGCAGCTTTAAAGGTGCGACATGTAGAGATGAAGTAAGGCTGACATCCTGTGGTCAAATGTGGTTACTGCAACCTACTATTTTAAACAAAGAGTGACTTTACCTGTAAACAAAATAGCGTTGCTAATTTTGTTAAATCAATCAGCAAACCTAACCAAAATATCTGAGCTATCGGAGCATTTAGTGTTTTATGTTCTTTTCCTCACCATCCACTCCCAAATACTTCAAATCATGACATTCCAATGAGCTCGTTTCTATTGAATCGATTGATCTTCCTGTTCATTTAAGATCATAACTAACAACATTTCACTATGATTCAGAAGCAGAAACCCTGAAATGGTAAAACTGTTTAATATTTTAAACATTATGAGTTGATAAAGACACAAACAGAGAGCAGGCTGACAGCTCCGCTGGCTCTGATCCTATTAGATGTAATCTCCTGACTTTTACAAATCCGTTCAAACTTGGGTTGATGTAAAACTCCTCGAAGTGCCCCGCCCTCGCTCTGTTCTGCCTCTAATCTTCACTAACGGTTTGGGTAATGCCCAATTAAATGAAGACATATTAGTTTTTCACTCAGCTGTCCCTGATTTGTGGGAATCGTATCCATTGCAACTACAGTAAAAGGTCATAAAGAGTCTGGGGAAAATAACATCAAACATGTTTCCTCCTGGTAGGAAACAAGCTGTTATTAAAAAATATATGTTTTATAGCCAAACAGCATAAACCAACACATTGTTTCCATAAACATCTTTATTAGAACAACACATTTAACTTCTCGTATGCATGCTGTATTCTTTTTCAGTTTCCATTTAAATGTATTTGTGCAAATCTGCAAAAGTTTCAGGCTCAATAGCTTTTATTACAGTTCAGATTTACTACATTAACAACCTGCTTCATAGTAACACCAACATATGTGAGTTTATCCATTTAAACACCATTTAGCAATGAAATAAATTAAAATAAAATAAAAAAATAACAATATAAGCAACAGGAAAATTGAAATTTTCATAAGGATTCTTTTTAAACCTGCAAGTTGTCGTGGGTTTTGTATTTACTTGACTGGAAAACACACATTTAGACACTAATCTCTCATTTTGTGATACAGTGAACGTTATGCCACACAACAGTGGGACGGAATGGTGGGATGACATCCAGATTTTAGTTGAAATTGCATTAATGAACAAATACAAAGTTCTAATTTAACATCTTGCTGACCTGACTTTTGTTATTCAAATTTATTTTTATATTTTTTTACAAGGAACATAAAGTAGAGTTTGTTTTAAAAGTAAATAAAAAGTGAAATCACAGACTTTCATTCGTAGAGTAACTCAAACACACCCACCGCCTCTCTGAGTTTCACATGACGGAGCATTTCTCCTCTGCTTTGCTCTTCAGCTCGGTGACCGTGGCCGAGGCCTTTTCCTTCAGCTGGTCCATGTCCATGTTCTGTAAGTTCTGAATTTGGCCCATTAAGGAGTCCTTGCCCTCCTCCTCCGTGGCGTCCTCGTCCACCATCTTGAGCAGCTCCTCAGGCACGTCCACGTCATCCCCGGCCATCTCTATCATGTTCTCATCCTGCTCACTCTGCAGATGTTGGCATGTGGAAACACAGCAGTTTGTTTAAATACTGTTTCTGAGGGAATGTTTAAATTAATGCATATGAAAACAGCCTTCAAGGCACGTCTTTGGTCTGATTTAATCAGTTGTGCTGGAGTTAGTAGATTTTATTACGGATTATACAGATTATAGAATATATTACATATGGATGGTTGTTTATTATTATTATTATTATTATTATTATTATTATTGTTATTATTATTATAATTATGTTTTAGTTTATTTGAGCTTGAGTCCTTTACTGTCTACACATGTGCACAAAAAAGAAGTTTTTTTCTATTATTTAGAGGCAATCGTAGTTAAGATGTAAAGTAAAAATAAATAAATGAGTAAATAAATAAAAATGTCACTTTTTCCAAACATTTTAAGATAATTTAAACACTGTTGACAGTCTCCACAGCTGCCTGTCTCTTAACTTCGTAAAAATTCGGCAAAATCCTTTTGTCCATGGATTTTTTTAAAGAAATATCATCTCCAGTTTAGATTTTTAAATCTTAAAATTAGACACATTTGACTGGTTTTGACTTCAAAACTTGAAAACAAGACAACAACAACCCCCCCCCCCCAAATAACTGTTTAAATGAAGATAAAAAAAAATAAAATAAAAAAATAAGTCTTGGATTTCACTTAATCCACATGCTAGCACAAGAGAAGATTCTGTTTTTGTGAATTTTGTTACAAAGCCCAATTCATTTAAAACCTTCGAAATAAACAAAACCAACCTTAATATCACTCAATACCAGGAAGGGTTAAAGGAACTGTTCTGTGCTGAATTTAACCTCCAATCTGTGGGATTACCTTTGACACATTTAGCATTTCCTCTCAGGTTTAAGCACATGCTAAATATATCTCAGTGATCAGAACTTCAAATCTGTAAAAAGATCATAACCATTAAAAAATGTCCCATCTGCTAAAAATCCATTTGGAGAAAGACAATCTCCGTCATGTTAAATCAATGGAATATTGAGACATTAGCATAAAGTGATTTTTTTTATTGTTATTATTGTTTATTTTCAATCAGATCAGTAAATGTTTATCAAGTAATTAAAAAAAAACAGCTAATCCAATCACAGCTTCAAACACAAAACATCAGATTAAGTTCACCTTTGGTTCATTTATACAAAAGTTCAGTTTAAACGCTAAACAAACCTTCCACCTACCTTTTTGGCTCCTTCCATCACACCGTGATTCCCTGTGAAAGGAACTTGTAACTCCTGCTGTATCTCAGTTTGGGACCAGTCAAGTAAACGTAGCTGATTCGTAAAGCCAGCTCTCTGACCGCTCGCCCTTAATAAGCTTGAACACCTGCTCCGGGCTTTTGGCTTTCTAAGACTCAAGGTGCAACATGTGATGCCCCGGCTAACGTCTCCCAGACCATGCCTCGCTAATCTGAGTCAAGACGTCTATATATATATATATATATATATATATATATATATATATATATATATATATATATATATATATATATATATAAAACTTGCTGGTAACTTGCTAACTTACAGGTGTTAAGCGCTCGACCCGTAATCGGAAGGTTGCAGGTTCGAGCCCCACTCAGTCTGTCACTGTTGTTGTGTCCTTGGGCAAGACACTCAACCCACCTTGCCTGTTGGAGGTAGTCATAGGAACCGGTGGCGGCTGTGCAGCAGCCTCACCTCTGTCAGTGTGCAGTGCCCAGGGCAGCTGCGGCTACAGCGTAGCTCATCATCACTAGTCTGTGAATGTGTGAATGACTGTTTGTGTTGTACAGCGCCTTGGGGGTTCCAGTGGCAAGTGAATGAGACGACCATCCGGTGATTCTAAGAGTCTCTTTATGATTCAGCCTGGGCTTCAGGAGATGTTTAGCTAACTGCCACACAGACAGGCAAAAACATTATCAGCTGCCTTTCACCTTATGGATGCAGGTGGTAATGAAAAGGAATGTGCACAAATCCTCCACAAAGGTGCTTAAAAATGATTAGTTTGATAAACTTTTATAACTTCATAAACCTTCAGTCCTTTGATGAGGCACCAGTGAAATCTGAGTTCAGCAGAAGCTGGAGTGATGAAAACTCTGACGTGTTTACCTTCGGCAGTCTGTATTTGTCTCTGAGACACACCCTGAGCGTTGCCCTCTCAGCCTTCTTGTGTAAGAAATCTGCATCTCTCTCCATCCTTGACAGAGAAAAAAAATCACAAAGACAGCATTACTGTAGTTCACTTACCTTGGAAACAAGAGTTAAAACTGAGTTTCAGCGTTTAAAATCCTCCACAAAGTCATTCGTGTTTTATTTCTGGAATATTTGATGCATTTTTCCCATCCGACGTTATCCCGTACGTATGTGGGTTTGTGACAGAGCGAAGATCCGCTGCAGTCAGATGGTTTTAAGACAACTTTTTATAGACGTTCTTAAATCTGATGAGAAAGCTGGACCCGTTTCGCTTTGAAACTGGACCTGTTGATATTTAAAAGTTTTGAATTGTTCTTCATGGTTTGTCTTTTATTATTTTTACATGATTCTAACACTTTAAATAGAACTGAGTAACTCTGACTCAAGAATTTTTTTTAAATATGCCTCATTTAAGAGAAACACACTAAACAGCTTAGAACTCTCTGAATTCATCTTTATTCTGGGTAAACACCCAGAACCAAATTATATTTTCTCTTTATGATTAATATTAAAGTGTTTTCAGTTGAAACTGTTTGCTGTGGGATGCATATTTTAGAACGCAGCCATAGAAACACCATTTGGCTTATATGGTGTGTTTGTGTGTGTGCATGTGTTTCCCCTTCCTCTGACTCTAGTCAGTGACTCGATGCAATCTGCTCGGTTCCTTATGTAGGAAACTTTGAACTAATTGGCAAAATGACCTGAACTCAATTGGAATGTTAACTTTGTGAAGTGCCTTGAGACGACTCTGGCCATGATTTGGCGTTATATAAATAAACAGCATTAAATTGAATCTATAATTTCAGTTCCACTATGGTGTGTTTTCCCTCTGCTGACTAAAACTGAGTCCAGCTGATCCTAGATCAGGTCCAAATGCCATAATTAGAATGGAAACAAAACATTAATAACAAAAATCCTTTGTTCAATTTCTATTGTGGCTATTTGAACTTTTTTACTTTTACTTATGTGTTGATTGTTTTGGTTTATTAAAAATGCAAAAATAAGTTCATATCTAAATCTTTTTGTAGAAACGTGGGTTAACAAATAATTATTGTTTTGTCTCCTAAAACACACATGTGAGTGGATGGGTCGTAATAATCTGGTTATGTAACACACACGCAAGCACGCACACGCACACACACACACACACTTGTATTTATATACTTGTGTGGAACTCCATTGACTTCTATTCATTTTAGTGACTGCACTATGCCTAACTCACACACTACCCCTAACCTAAATGTTAATTCCCACCCTACCTCTAAAACCAAGTATGAGGGACCAGCAAAATGTCCCCACATTATAGGTTAAAGTCAAAATATATCTATTCGAATAGATTAAGACATGTACACACTTACACACGCACACACACACATCTGTGTGTTGCTGCAGAAATCAAAGGTCCATGTTTATCAAGATTTTAAATTAGAACCTCAGATAAAACGATTGTTGTTAAAAGAAAAAAAGGGTTTTTAACAAGAATCAAAAACCCTCCAAGACTGTTAAAGACAAATTCCATTTGACATGAAAAAAGTGCTTAAATTTTTTTTTTCCTGAGACTAAAATAAATAAAACAGCCAACAGATAAAAAGTGAACACTCAGCACAGCAGCTAAGGGGAAGAATTAAATAAATGGTTTAATCTGAGGGGTGCAACATTTACTACAGTATTAGTACAGTATGGTTGTTTTATCACTATTTAGGATCACCTTGGCGCAGGAACTCACTTTTATCACAGAAATCATTCATTTCAGTGAAATCTGACATTGAATTATGTGGAAAACATGTACAATAAACGGGTGACTTGTTTGTGCCGCTGCTGTGACCTTCAGCATCAGTTACATTTGCAAAATCCTGTTTGTTCATTTTAAATGTAGAAAAAGAACCAACAAACACTTTGGTGTCTAGTGAAGTTTGGGTGTGACTTAAGGGGAAAACTGGACAAGATTACAGTAAAACGCCCATTTTACAACGTTTCAAGGTCAGATCTGACTCCGCAGCCATCTTGTTTTCCACGGGCCACACGTTCTCCTCCCTGTTCTCCTTACTTACTTTTCCTCCACCAGCTGTTTCTGGTACTCTTCATACTCCTCTCGTGTCATCCCTGCAGCTTTGGCAGGATCTGAGGGGGTGGCTTCCTCTTCTTTGTCCCCTCCGCCACCAAAACCCATTCCTGATAGGGGGTTCCCAATCATGCTCTTGATCAGAAAAGCCATCTTGAGTTGAGCGAGCGTTCACTCTTCTAGGACCAGGATGTCCGTCTAAACAAAAACGTTATCGGTCTCCTTTCGCTTGGCTTTGTCTTCCCGTAGCGTTCAAATCCAGTGGTAGCTATCTGTGGCTAACCTCCTGCTTGTCTACGAAGTCAAGGACACACTGATGGCATACAACACACACAAACACACACACACATAATCTGGATTTAATCCTCCTGCTTCACTATACTAAGAAGCAGATGGCCTGTTTTCTCTCTATTTTTAAACCACACAGACCTTTCTAGATGGATTGTTTTAGTATCAGACTTTGGTCATTTGGCCAAAACTTGCAGCAAAATTCATGAAACTGGTTTTTGGGGTTGCATATTCTCACTTTTAACCAACACACAAGCGGCGTTGCTTCCACCCACTGCAGCCTAATTGTGTTAGTGAGGTACAGGCTGGCCCACGAGGAGACTGCACTGCTGAGATCAAGCCGAGTGGAGAGACAGGAGGATTACTGGTCATTAAGTCATCCCTCCATGGAGTGTTACGGTTTAATGAGAGCATGACTGACTGAAGGGTGACGGATTTCATCTCACCACCTTCTCTTCATGACATTATCAGCCCTAGCAAGATGGAGACTCTTTAAAATGTGCTAAAGCTGACAAGTGTTACACTAGAGGTGGTTTTCTGGTGCAAGTCATAGCAAGTGTTTGTTTATCAGGTAAATAATCTGCAGAAATAAAGTCTTATGAATGCAGGAGAGGATGACCAGCTGTTAGTTTGCAATCCCCTAGTTTACCTGAATACTGTAATGCACTTTGGAGTCCTAGACATAGAAAACTGCTACAACACAAACGCAGGCCCTGCACAACTTCACAATTGTCGTTTCCCAATAAAACATCCAGTTTCGTTTCCATTTGTTTTCTGAACAAACACACATACTCTCAGGGGCCGTCATGTTGTGATGACTGAGAATTCTGTATTTGATATAGTGCCTTCTAGAGTCCTAAATCCCCCAAGGCACTTTACAACAGTCATTCACCCATTGGTGATTATGAGCTACACTGTAGCCACAGCTGCCCTGCCAAACACTGGTGCCACCGGTCCCTCCGACCATCAGCAGGCAAGGCGGGACAAGTGTCTTGCCCAAGGACAACAGTGGAACTCTCTGCTGGGAGCGATCCCAACCCTCCGATTACTGGACAACCCGCTCTACCTCCTGAGCTACTGCTGCAAGACCACCGTTTTGTTTACCTGCTTCAACACACCTGATTAAAGTTAGATTACTTGTTCAGTAGATCCTTATTTACCCACTGATTAAAACCAGGTGTGATGGCGCAAAGAAACTTCTAAAACTGGTTCCCAACCAGGGTTCTGCGACCCCCCAAGGAGGTCCCTAGATATTGCAACACTCCCAATAGTACAATCAAAACTCTGTGCTTGGATAAAGGTTGTAATTAATAACTTGTGAGTAGTTAGGGTTCGGGGAGGCCCTGGCTTGTCTTGGACTTGGACAAGGGGGTCCTCAGGTAAAAACAGCTTTGTGCTGGTTAGGGTCTCTGTAGGACCAGAGTTGGACTTCACTGATCTAGACTGGATCATTGCTCAGCCAGGACTGAATCAGAAACCTAATGTCTCTGTTCTCCAACTCTTCTAGTAGAACAGAAGCAAGCTTTCAAGTAAAATCTCTCAAGTAAAGATCTGGGTCTGCTCCAAAACAACCTTCCATTTGTAACATATCCACAGCTCAGGTCCATCCTAGTCAACCCCCTCGAGCGACTCCTTAGAGGTGCAGAGCGATTACAGAGGCTCAAATCAGATTATTCAGAGTAGATGAGTCGTATTTTGAGGGTTTCTTGCATAAAAGAAAGCAAAAAAAGAAACTGAGTAAATGGTTTTGAGCATTTTATGTAAATTGTTCAGGCAGAGGGCATGTCAGACTGACACATTTCAATCAAAGGAAAAAACTGAAGCATATATTGGACGTCTGGGTCACTGAAAATCCTCAAGCCTTTTGTACAAAATTGTCCCACACTTTAAACAATCTAAATAGTTTTTCTCTTGCTGACTCATTTCATGAGATGGGACTGAGGCCGACTTCAGAAAACACCCACCAGAAATACTGTAAAGAACATGGTACATCTCGTCTGAAACATCCAAAAACAGCCAGTCTCACAGCAGCATTCACACATGATTTACTGATCAAATTAAAAATCTAACAATTAAAACAAACTCTTATTCAAAAAAAAAAAAAACCAAACCTTTTTTTCAAGTACAATAATTTACAATCTGAAAAACAATTGAACAACACAATTAAGACAAACACTTTGAGCATCCACTCATAAACCCTCGTCATCAAAAGAACTTCTTAGCTGCTGCTTCTTGTTGACTTCTAGAAAAGAGATAGGACACAATCAGAAGGGTCTTGCACGAAAAATGTTTAACTAAATGGAAAAGTCAAACTTTCTTACTTGTACATGACGTAGCAGAAGAACAAGACTGTCTGGATGACAACAAATATTACAAAATGAACGGTGGATAAGCAGGAGGGCAGAGGAGGAAGCTCGGGACACTTCACAGCTTTGTCTGACGGGTTCTGAGAAAGTCAAGAATACATAGTTACGATTAGAAACTGATGGTTTTAAAACCGACCACTGAAGACTTTTAACAGACTCAAGTGGCAGAAGGTTCAACATCTGTTCTGCTCTCAAAGCCACAAGTGCTTCCTAATATTTGCTCTGAGAATTCAAACCGTGATAAATACCTGAGCGTTTCGCTGAACCAGATGCTCCACGTCTCTTTTCACCGTGTGAAGATGCTCCTTGATGTCGTTGAAGTGCTGAATCGTCTCGTACGTCCCCATACCGACTGCGTTCCCCTGATGCTGAACAGAGCCAAGCTGTTTCAGCGACTCGTGGAAGGAGTTTCTGTGGAGAAGAGGGAGGACACGGTCCGTTTAAAAGGGGCTGTATTGTTACATGTATGCAGGCAGCCTCCCAAACCACTGAAAATCATCACGCAAAGCCATGGCGGGGAACTTGGTGGGCAGTGAATATGCTGTTGGTGCCATTGTTTTATTTCAGCGACAGAAATTGACCCAAAACTAATCCTTTAATCCCCACTTGCTGTAGGCTACATTTTCACAAAGTTCAGAAACCAGAAAATTACCATCTGATAAAAGAGGTCATGATTGCTAAATTAATCCCTTATAGAACATGTTCTTACAGCAGATTACAAGTGCATTAGGTTAAGAAACAGAGCAGCAACTATCTGGATTATCTCTCATCTATAGAGGCAAGATATGATACTGAAGGTGAAATTAAAATGTTGGTTTTTAACAAAAGAAAACCTAATTTCTCTATAAAGGAACCAAACTCCAGTTGTGTTTGGGATCGTCATGCCCATTCCTTCTTAAACTGGTAACACTGCTTAGGACCTAAATGTAATTAATTCAGATGTTTAAAGTATTGTTTTTATTCTGAATTTACTGAGTCAATAGGAAAGTTTATAAGTATTTTTGTGCGCTTCTATGTGAAAGAAAAGGAAAGTGTTTTTATTTAAACAAAAACGCTTTCAGACTTTTTCCCCATTGGATATTTAAATGTAGAATGTTGAAGAGGACCTGCGCCCACCTACTTCTGGACCACAGGTCCCTGGAAATGAGAAAAAATAAATGCAGGTCAACGGGGTTGTAAAAGCTATTTTCTAAAGTTTGATACGCGCCACGGATTTCACTTATAATGTCCGAGAATATTAAAGACGTATTTTGATGCCATGAAAGCGCTTAATTTTTTCAGGTGTCAAAAGTTACTTTGGGTTTTATGTGAAAAGATGTAAAAGACTATAATTGTGTCTCACAATATTGGTGTCATCAAACCAGAAACTGACAAGAAAACAGCTGGGAGTCTAGCGAGCTTCGAATCCTTCTTCCAGGACAACAGAAGGAGCACTAACTCGGAGAAAACCACCATAAATCTGGCATGTGGTAAGAAGCTGATTCTGTGGTGACATCAGACATCTGATTTTGTAGTCGTTTTAATTACAAATTTTTGCAAGCTAATAAATCTGAAGTATGTGACAGTCAAAATACACAATTACTTTTTATTTAAATTGAAGTACAACATGTGTGTGATTCAGGACGGATTAGAAAACAGCTTTTATATTCCCGTTCACTTGCGTTCATGTTTTCTTTGTTCAAGGGAACCCATGAGCCGTTCGGAAGGGGAGGAGACTTAAGCCGCCTCCACATCGACCCGGTCTGGGCCTGGCCGGATGATGTCGGCACAGTTCTCTCACTGGTAAGGTTTGTTCACATTCACTTGTCTGGAACGGGGAAATCTCCAAGCATGTGGGCGAGGCAAAAAACGTGAAGACGTCCAAGGTGCCTCCCTTAAATTGAACAAAGGCGGCTGTGAGCAGTGCTGCTTTTGGAGACTCTGATATTGCGTACTGCTCTGCTGTATGTGTCCTTACGCAGGGCACCTCAAGCTTTGGCAGTGCTGTGTGTGTGCATGTATGTGCGTGCACGTGTGTGCGTGCACATGCGCGTGAGACAGAGAGAGATGACTTGTCAGAGGAGATGTTTACTCCACAGTATCCAGATTGATAACGAATTGCACAAGGGAAGCCTCCACTGGCTGATTCTACCGCCAATCGGAGGCTAACCCTAATGGTAGGCATGGATTTGAGCCAGCCAATCGTTCGGCAGTGGGTGTGTTGGGCTAGTTCAGCCCGAAGCCTTGGGAAGAGATCTGAAATTAATAAATAAACGGCTGGTTGAGTAGGAAAAACATCCAGGCTACCCAGATGTGAACAATTTATAGCATACATGTGCGGAGTGGAGCTGGCCCTGGTGTGAAAGGGGTTTTAGGCTCCCTATTGCCCTAAAGCAGAAATGCAAAGTTTTTCTCAGAGGGCACCATCTAGAGGCAGAAAAACACATTGCACCTTATTAAGCCCCTCTCCCTACTAGCTGCATGATGATTGGTCAGGTTACCCCAATGGCTCTATGATCCTGCCGGAAGCTAGAAACTGTGTACAGCTGTGTTCAGAGTCTAGATAACTCAATATGCAAGAAGTGGATCTATCTGGCATTCATGTTAAGTCTGAACATTTCCAGTACGTCCTGGAACGTGAGTGGTGAACATTCTTTGTTATTTTCCTCTCGTTCAACACGGTGATAGAGTAGCATTAGCAGCAGTTTAGGCTAGTGCTAGCAGTGGCTCAGGCTAGCATTCTTCTGATGTAAGCATTACCGCCACCAACGTTTACATGTGCAACCTGTGTTTACACTGGCTTGTTTTTACAAACACAATAACTGCTCTAGAAGGCCACAGGCTAAGGAAGACATTAAGGACGGTTATTGCACACCACCTAGTGATTCCAATGAATGTTTTTCTACACAGGTGCCAAAGATTTGGGGGACTATTGCTGCTTACAGGCTTAGCATGCCTTTGAATGTGCTTTACAATCCACTGGGATTATTTTATTTATTTATTTTTTTGCTGAAACGAGGTAGTGTGGACCCAATTTCTTTTTCCTAGATGGGTGTGGAATAATATTTGGTTTTACAAAAACCCAGCTAGGTGGGCTCTTTGGCCATTACAAAAGTACTGATTTGCATAGGCAAGCAGGTCAGATATAGCACCGACATGCTGGTATGTTACATTTGACACTCCAAGCTGCCTATAATCCTCCAACATAAGGTAAATATGGTTCAGAATTGTAGGACCGTTTTAAGGCAGACCAGCCTAGGGGCTGCTGCCTATTTGACTTATTAAAATACTCTCAAAACCCCCAAATGTGTTGCTCAGTCTCCATTTTATGTAGCGGCAGTAATATAAATGGGATTGCATTGGACCCTTGAACTGTAAGAGACAGAACCAGGAGTTTCAAAGAGTTGTTGAGTTTTGTTTGCAGCCTCCAAACTGTGAAACACTGAAAACACATTCCTAATTGAAATGAAGGCGTTCTGAGAAAACCTTGGAAAGGTTCATAGAAAATTACTCCGATTCTGTTTTTTTCATCTCTATTTGAGTTTTTGCCCCTACTAAAGACTCAAACCACAGAACACAATTACTTTGTTTCTGCTGATGGCGCTTGGATTATTGAAGGTTAAACGAGGCTGAAACTTTGGCCTCTCACACTGACGTCTTTATCAGCAGCAGAGCTGCTCTGGCCTCATTACCACTGAACAGACTGAGATCTTTGTCAGATCTGACCCCTCTCAGTGTGTTAAACTCTCAAATCTGGGACATGCTGTGATTACCGACAGGTAAACAGAGCAACACTGCTCACTTTGTTCCAACACAACCTTTTCCTGGTCAAATCTGCCCATTTAGAAATTACTCTGACACTTACTAAACAGTTTGAGCAGTAAAGTCATGTTCAGACATTTTTTTTCTTTGATCTCATCCAAATATGAGGTTTAAAAAGGGAGAAGAGCTGCAATATTTAAGCCCAGATCACATTTCTCAGTAAATTTTCATTTCGTAAAGTTGATTTGGAGGAAGCAATAAGTTTCCCTTATCATCTTAAAACACATCTAAGGCGATTAGGAGGGGAAAAGTGAGTCAACAAATGAACTGAATTTCCAGCAGTGAGAGTAGGGAGGGCCTCAGGGAGGATTGTGATGAGAAATCAATTGGATGGAAACCATGTTTTGCCTGTGTATGACAGATGTATTTAAAGAGCACTAATCTGATCTAAGATGTGGCCTTTTCTTGCATCGCCACATGGCCAAGGTCTGAGACAGGGATGACATATAAACAAAATCTAATTTGTTTTACCATGAATAGAAAAAAGCCCTTAAGAAAGTAAGTGAGCATTTATTAAACCCTACATATAATCTTCATCTCCTACAAGTGACCTATTTATGAGCAGAAAGCCCTCTTATGTATGTTTGGAGATGAATTCATGTCATAAACTGTTTAAATGACAGGTCAGGATAAACTGAGAACTTAATCTACTGAGTAATACCGATCAGCCGCTCACATTAGCACATTAGAGGGACCAGCTGCAGCCTTTTGCCAGTGTCTGAACTTATGTACGTAGTCAGTCAGATTACCTCTGGGCACCAACTTCCCAAAATTACCTCTCTGCTTACAGACGGTTCACAACCTTATCACATCACATCACAACACAACACACACACACACACACACACATACACACAGGTAAATGTGTGATCAAGTCAACAGAATGATAAAAATAATCATTTAGGAGTAGATGTTCTGCTGGATTTAGGGCACAGAAACAGCTTGGTTCTTTTATGACACGTGAGACGAACAGATTAATGCTACATAAAACAAAATCTTCTGATTCTGATTCATTTGTTATACGGATGGTATCATAAATCTGACACCACTGAACAACTGGAAATAAATTAGATCAGAATCTTTTAATCAGATGAGTTAGAAAACGGATGAAATAAATGAGCATTTATTAAATCTAAAAAGTGGACAGAATGTGTTAAAAGTATCGTTGGTGAATATTACTGATTCATCATTCTGTGAGGATTAAAAATCCATACATTATGACGATTCTTTGTTTTTTAATCTACTGAGAGCCCACTGAAGCCAAAATGACTAACCAGTTGTTGTTGACTGTTAATACAACAATTGTTGTTTATCTTGGAAAACATTTAATGAAAAAACACCCTAAGCTGTTTTATTTCAGGATAAAATATAATTTCCCATGTAGAGACCATTTATTTTGGCTGATGGAATGAGGAAAAGGTGACATTTTAAAACTAGGGATGCACCAAGATGGAAATGTGGACCGATATCAATACCTGTTATTGTCAATAACCAATATTTAAAGATATTAATATAATATATACACCCACACATTTCTGAGATGATCACGATTAAACAATTACCGTACAACCATCCCACTCCCCTCCTAAAACAATCCTAAACAGCAACTATATGGAAAAAAGTACGTAGCGGCTGCACAGTGGTGCAGGGGTTAGCGCTGCAGCCTTGCAGCAAGAAGGTCCTGGGTTCACATCATAGGGTCTTTCTGCAAGAAGTCTGCATGTTCTCCCTGTGCATGCGTGGGATCTCTCTGGGTACTCCTGCTTCCTTCCACAGACCAAAAACATGACTGTCTGGTTGACTGTTTTCTCTAAAAAATACCTTGGGTATGAGTTGTTTGTCCTGTGTGTCTCTATGTTGCCCTGCGATGGACTGGCAATTAGTGCTGTACGAGTCTGCAAAACTTGGTATTGATCCGATACCAAGCAAATACAGGGGCTAGTATTGCCGATACCGATACTTTTTACTACTAGTCTAGTATCATCTAGTTTTGTGGGATTTATTAAGATAAATAATGAATACATCATCAATATGAGAATCTTGTCTGAAAACTCAACTTTTATTGATTACTTAATTATTTTGTAAGTTTTCCTTTAATAAATCATGTGTACGATGATAATAAAATACGGGGAACATTTTCAGGCAAATCAAATTTTTATTAGGAAACTCTAAATGGTTTAAAAATGGTTAACAAACTCAAGATTTTTTTCTATTAGAAATCTATAAAGCTGTGTAGAAAAATTCCAAACGGCGTTCCTTTTTCGGTCTGCCATCACGCAGCCACAACAGTGCTCTCTGCTGTTCTATGCTTGACTCGTGCTGGCGCGCTGTTTTACTTTTTTCTTAATGTAATGCCGGACTGCCCCGTTGACTGACATCCGTGGCGTCCCAATAACAGTGGTTTAATGTTTTTTTGGGCCAATCACAGCGCTCTTTTAGCGAGGTAGGCGGGATGTCCCTGCAAACAAACATGGCTGCCGCTCGAAACGGTCCAATCACAGGTATCAACCAGGTAAACTACAAATCAAGATGGCTGCCGTTCTGTAGTGGTCCAATCATGGCGCTATATAGATTTCATGGGCCAATCGCAACACTAAGTAGACGGGATGTTATTGGGAAAAAAACCAAACGTGACTAGTCGGCGGTCAGCTGCTCGTTTAAAATGGCTTTGGCACCAAGTTTGGACTATTATGACTTTAGCTTTTGTTTGTCAAGATCAGATAGAAGTACTAACGTTTATTTAAGAAAAGGATGTGTTTTGCATCTTCTTTGACGGGGTTTGGTGGACTGCCTCGTTGACCGCCATCTGTAGCGGTGAGTACATCATGGCTTGCCAGGCTAGAAGAAACTGAATCGATACCATCACGCAGGTATCTAATAAATACTCAATACCAACGTTAGATCGATACTATTAATATTTTAGACCGATCAGCCCAGCCCTACTGACAATCTGTCCAGGGTGTACCCCGCCTGTTTACCCAAAGACTACTGGAGATGGGCACCAGCCCCCCCGCGACCCCGCGTGGACAAGCTGGTACAGAAAATGGACGGGTGGATGGAAAAAAGCATCGATTGTGAATATTGGCCCAGTTTTACTTAGCGAACCGATACCATATGTTAAAGGGGAACTAGGCAGTTTTGGCTTGCTTTTAGTACCCCCTAGTGTCCGTTTGTAGAACCAAAAACAAAACCTATCTCACTGTGCGTTCATCTTTTTAACACCTGAATCCAACAGCTGAAATGTCTCCCCAGCCTTCCTTCATGTCTACAGGAGTGATTCATTTCTAAATTAAACAAATCAGCTGTGTTCATGATCTAAAACATGCAGGAAACGTGCTGGAAGCAGACTGCCAAACTGAAAATTATCTAAAAATGTGGTAAAATTTGTAAAGTATCCCTTTAAAAAATTATAAACATTGTTTAATACAGATATTGATGTTGCTGTTGCTATATCATGCAACCCTAATTACAACACCTACCACTCTAATAGTATCTATTTAAAACCTAACTTCTATTTTTAGAAGTCTCACAAAATGTGTCATTTATCTGCTAATTTTAGGAGGAGTCTGTTGACGTCTACATGGGGTTGTACGAGAGCTGCAGCAGCACTTGTGTTCCTCATCTTTTGAGTTTCTGGTCAGTAAATATCTGCATTCCAGCTAAATCTGCCCCAGCTTACCATAAAACCCCCTAAAGAAGCCTCATATGATGGACCTTAAACAATAAACTTTAACTGCAACAGAAAGTAAAAGACAATGTGTGCATTTGCATCCTAATTACCAAGCAGTGGATGAATTAACAAAGGTGGGCAATGTAAAGCACCTTAAATTGTCATGGTGGGGAAATCCCTACATGTTATCGTGTCGACAGAATCAGCTTTAAGAGCAGTGGAGCGACTTTAGAGGAGGTGGATTATCAGGCTGACAGACACCTGCGATGTTACAGCCACAACATCCTGAGATTAAATATGATTTAAGAGATTTATCCTGCAGGATTTCCCTTGTTTTTCTCCGATATAACGGATGTCCCGTTATGTTTGCTGCAAAAACAACAGCTAGTTTCTAAAACCAAGCAAACTGCTGTTTTTTACCTCATCTCATTGAGGATTCTGACAACCTCCTGCTGTGTAGCCACGATGGAGCTCAGCTGCTGAGTGGCTGGATCCTGCTGGGAGAGAAGAACAAACACGGGTCAAATGAAGAACTCTTCTTGGTTTATGAAGTCACTAAACAGCAAAACACAGAAAAACCTGCTATTGTTAAAAGTCTGCTTGCCGTTTAATCCCAACGTTTTAACAAGAGGAAGTTATTTGTGTTAGTTTGTTTCCTGGTGATGACATGCCCACCTGTCCTGACACGGCGTTTGTCCCCTTCTTTGCCAGTTCATCGCTGACAATGTTAACGTATCGCCGCTGCTCGTCCAGGATCATAGCAAGGTTCCGGTTGACCTGTTTGATCTCCAGATGGATCCGGTTCTGACCTTCGAACACCTGTCGGATCTCCCGGTCGCTCGCACTTTCATACAAATCTTCAACTTACATAAAAACAGATTTAAGAAAATATAAATAAAACAAAGTTCTGGTAAAAACTAAAAACACAAATAAGAAAAAAAAATACATCTAATATGTTTCTTTACAATACAAACTTAAACAAATCAATAATATAAATTATAAAACAAGAAGCAGTTCTTGTCGATGAGTTTAGTCCAGCCAACATCAAATTAAAAACAAACACAGGATTTAAGGAAATTGAGGCTAAAATCAACATGAGCATTAGACTGAAGAATTATTTGATGAAATAAAATAATTCTGAGTCCAATTCTGATGGCTGCAGTAAACTACATAGGTCATGACTTCTGCCATATCAGAACAGTAGAGCTCTTTAAAATAGGACCTTAATTACAGTTTTATCTGAGCATCGAGTGATTTTTGCAAACAGAATAATTTCCATTACAAAGGTGTGATGTAGCAGAGCTCATTTCCACCCCGTTTTAAAGCCTGCCGCACACGAGAGCAAACTGCTGAGCAAACGGCCTCGAATGACCGTTTGCTCTGCAGATACCTCGCTGTGTGCGCCGGATTTTCTCAGAGTTTTCCACCTCACGAAACGCTGAGGTGAATATCTGACCGGTTTGATATGGTACACCTGACGGTGGACCGTGTGCGCACTACGTGAGCTGCTGGCTGAGCTGAAATATTCTAGTGGCCAATCAAAGCGTGTTCTCCGCTCCCAAAATCGCAGCCCCCTGTCTGCATGTCAGAAAACAAACAAAACGAAGACAGAGCTGGAAACGGAGGATATGCCTTTACTTTTTTGTTGATGAGGCGTCGCCGCCACCATCATTTCAAGGTTAGGAGAGTATGGGTATGGTGGCTGGAAAGAAAGGACAGGCAAGGCGTTTATGCCAATCTACTCCAAGAGATGCGCCTTGAAAACCCAGAATCTGACAGTACCGTCGCCTGGATCCTGGAAACAGTGGGCCCATCGATCCGCAAGGTACCGTTTAATTTTTCTGACATGCAGACAGGGCAGGGGGCTGCATCTGAATACATCATGGAATCATGTGAGCGGAGAACGCGCTTTGATTGGCCACTAGAATATTTCAGCTTTGCCAGCAGCACATGGTGAGTTTTCACCCCCCGTGAGGTGGAAAATATCAAACTGCTCAGATATTCACCTCAGCGGAAAACTCAGTGAAAATCAGGCGCACACAGCGAGGTATCTGCTGGGCAAACGGTCATTCGAGGCCGTTTACTCAGCAGATACCTCGCTGTGTGCGGCAGACTTAAGACTCAAAACAATATTAATGGTAGCAATTATCTGCTTTACATCTTATTTTATACTTCATATCACTGCTGTCTGTATGAAAGTCCATTAAAGCTTATATGATGTGGGTCGAAAGTGGAACTGCAAAGCTTTCTTAAAAATTGGAGGAATTGCGCTTTAAATTGTAGCTAAAAGGTTTAAAAAGCTAAACTGTTTAACCTGCAAAAGAAGAACATTTTGAATCTGCTATCAGGATGTTTTTGTCAGGACTTTCTTTGGGTCGTAAGACATAACAGGAAACTAACTTGGCTCTCCTTGGACATCCGGGTGCTCCTTTTGAAACTCTTCTTTCTTCTTATCCAGCTCTTGCTGGAAGTTTTGAAATTCCTCCTGGTACTTGTCCTTCTCTTCTTTAGGAATCTCAGACTCGACTGGAGGCTTCAATGAGAATCACACATGCAAGGAGCAGGGGAGAGGAAAAAAGTGAATTTAGTCAAAATTCCTGTAACCTGTAAACTGGGACGGAGAGCCGTAGTTACCGGTTGTTGGCCTGGTTCTGAGAGTCTGAATAATAAGAAGGACAACACATCGTGGTCATCTGACGGAGGCAAGAAACGCGATTAGAAAATCACAGGAAAGAGTAAAACCCATGAAATAACTGTCTAGATAAATACAGGGTTAAAGTGTATTAGTGAGACATATGAGCACGTTTCTGCTGCTGCACTAGTTTAGCCGATTCATTTTGTTTTTCAGAATAAAGATAAACAAATTTTAGATTCACTAAAAATGAAGCGTGGAGCTGAATTTAAGCATTCAGATTAGGAATGTTCCAATCATGCTTTTTTGATCCCGATCCAATCCGATTCAGTCATCTGATTTGAACAATCTGCCGATACAGATTCCCGATTCGATACTTTAGAAATGCATTAAGAAAAAAGGACAACACACTGAAGTTGTCCTTTAAGTTTTTTTATCCTTTAATGCATTTATATATGTAATTTCTGTTAAAAAATCACTTGATTAGGAATTACATTAATAAAAACGCGTTCAGTACAAGAATAAATGTTAAAGTAGCCTAGTTGTCGATCATGTTTTAAATCATTTGCTCGGTGAGCGGCTGTTTTCTGCAACAGGGATGTCACGGCACACGACTGTCAGCAACAGGGTCACTCCGTTCTACAGAACACCTGTAGAGTTGCTGCGTCTGTAAAGTTAGGGAGAGAAGGCAGATCATACCGCGACTCAACCCCAGACGCTCATCCAGTGTGATAAGTGTGCTGCTAGCTTGGCATTTAGCTAATTCGAATTGCTGCAGCGGACTGAGCTGGGTCCGTTTTTTAAGATGGCGCATCAGCTTCGTAGTATTGAACGCAGCACTACCTTTCAACCACATGAAATGCCCAGTTTGCACACATTACACGAGTCTATTTCACTCCTTTTGATGTCTGTTTTAAAATACATCCCAATTACAGACATTCTCTCTCTCTTAAGGTTACAAGTATGTGCTATGTTAGCTAACTGCTACATGTTATGGTGTGTGAATTCCCAGACTACCTTAAACTGTGGGACTTTACAGCGTTGTCTGTGAAACAAAGAATAGTGGCGTAGAAGAACGTGTTTAATTTAAAACTAAGCTGTTGTTTTTCCATTTGAAAATCTCTTTAAGATAAATTTAAAAAGTAATGTTTGTTATTTAATAAGGTTAAATCCGATTTTTCCCACCCGATTCTGATTTCCTGAAAACCACATGATCGGATCGGAGCATCCCTAATTTGGATAATAAAAACACAGCTTTTAAAACTAAGACAGTTATTTTTGTAGGTATGAATTATAGATCGATACCTGCCAAACCACCAGTAGCAGCTGAAATACCAAAGAAGCCTTCAGAAGGAATAATCATGTTTTCCACCTTTGTGCAGAACTCATAGTCCTCTTTGTCTGGAGTGAACCCGTTGTTGATCATAACCTGAATAAGATAACACACTACATTATTTGAACATAGATTTAAAACCTATACAACTCCTTTTTCACAATGTGTTTGTTTTCACCCACCGTTAAAGTCTTTCTGTAGTAAGTAATTTTGGCTCTGATGGGATACGGTTTGTTGCGGAAATCTCGTAAACACGTCCCGAGGGCTTGTGTGGAGCCGTCGCTGGATGAAAACAACATTGAACCATTACACGGCGTTATTATTATTATTCCTCACAATGAGGAAAAAGTGCAAAACAAACTTTATGAGATAAGCACAGAACATTAATGTTTTCGTCAACACTCGTTTGGTGGCGATGCAAACACTGAACCCTGAGACGGGGCAGAATGGCACTGAAAAAGTGATTTAAAGCTTTCACTTGCCCTGGGGGAGATTAGCAAAGATAGAGGATTATTTACTTTCCAAGCAAATATAATCATATTTTCTAATCTCCTTTGAGTTGCTGAAATGTAAGTTAGTGATGTCATCAGAGGAAAGCAAAAGAAATGTTTACTTACTTTTGGTGGTCATAAACAAGCTTGCCGTTGTTCCCGACAACAAGAATAGCTGGGTTATTTTTCTGAAATAAGAAAACATGTTAATCCTTTTGTTGTTTGAAGACCAGGAGTGGCTTTAATCCTGTAGAAAATATCTAACCAGTACCTGTCCATTTATAAGTTCATGTCAAAAAGAAAAGAGGACAAATATTTACTTTACAAAGCAGAAATAAAAGAAAGGCAAAGAAGACACAAACCTTTCCATCGTTGTCAAATGAATCAAAGAAGACTCCAACTCCGTTCCACTGATCAGCGGCTCCGTAAACCGGACCATCGAGACCTTGTTCAGTGGTAAACCACACGGCCTGTTGGGAGAACATAAGTGCAGTTTTTTAATTCAGAACACATTTTAGAATACTTAAAGTATCTTTATGGAGTTTTCCCCTTTCAGAAATGATGTATGATGTGTCAGAAATCCGTAAAAGTGATTAACTCATCATGTACGGTGATAAAATGTAAGCAATACGTCTTTTTTTTTTGCTAAGCACGCCCCCTGCCCCGCAGAGCTCCCTGCAATAGGAAACCGAGCGCTGACCAGAACTAACCACTAGCGTTAGACTACCTCTTACTTGCTTCAAATTTAAGGAATACCTTGGCTGATGCAGAGTTGATGAACTTTTCACGAACAAGTAAGTCTCTAAAATATAAATATATGAAAACACAACATGACATGAGAATAATACTCATAAAACGATGTGTTTTAGCTCTGATTGTCGGCTACAGAAGCACATTTATTAACAGAAATGTGAATTCGCCATCTTAAAAAAGGAAGGAGTGTGATATGCTTGTCAGCCACTAGATGGTGCCATCGGATGAGGGAAATACTCCGAAAAGAAGCTTTAAAGGGGAACTAGGCAGTTTCGGCTTGCTTTTAGCACCCCCTAGTGTCTGTTTATCGAACTGAAACCAAAACTTCTCCTCGCACTGCGTTCGTTTTTAAACACCTTAATCTAACAGCCGAAATGTCTCGCCAGCCTTCATTAGTGTATAGGAGTGATTCATCACTTAATTAAAAGAATCAGATGTGTTCATGATCTAACACATGCAGGAAATGTGCTGAAAGCAGACTGCAGCGCCAGGTATGTCAGCTCCATTTTTTTTTCAAGTCCCAACAGAGCGGCCCGCCAGTCTGAAGTTGCAAATGGGATCTTCTGGCTTGGGGCTGGGTGGCCTTTCATGAACCCTGTAATGCAGGGGTATTCAAATCCAGGCCTGGAGGGCCGGTATCTAGCACCTTTTTACTTGTTCCTCTGCTCCAACACACTTGATTCAGTGGATGAATCACCTGTGCAGTAGCTCATCAGGTCCTGCAGGCCTGTTCATTACCTGCTGATTGAAATCAGGTGTGTTGAAACAGGGTTAAAACCAAAACGTGCAGGATACTGGTCCTCCATGCCTGGACTTGAATACTCCTGCTATAAAAGGTCATTTTAGAACATTCTGGCTCAAAAAAAATATTTAAAAATATGAAAAAGGTGCAAAGTATCCCTTTAATACAGGAAACGCCAGAACAGAAGACTTGCACCAAGTAAATGAAAACTGCAAGGAACCTGTACAAAACATTAATTTAGTCAGACTCTGATGGTCAGGGATGCTGTTAGGACGTCATTTAGTCTAAAACTGAAGTGAGCACCTTGAACCAGAAACAGCCTTGGTGGATTTCTAAAATCTCTCACGCGTTCGAGGTTTCTCAGCTCTCTCAAGTTGACCTCGGTGTCGAGCCACTTGAATTCTGAGCATGTTCAGAAAATGTTCAAGACAAATGCCTTCTCAAAACAGCCGAGGGTTGCTGCACACATCTGAAACTACGGAAGAGAATTTGCCTTAAACCACACTCTGTCATATAGAAAACTTCTTCCCAGTCAAAGGCCTGTAGATTTCATCACAGCTGTGTGTTTCTAGTCAGTGAGACACCGGCTTCAGGCTCAACACAAACCCTCAGTGAATGACAGAAACTTGAGTAACTTTCTTGTGTGGTGATAACTCTTTTCTGCTGTGAATACTTATACAAATAAATTAACTTTAGGTTAGCTATATAAGAACCTGTAAGGAGTTTCAAATAAACTCACACCAGGTGTGTAGGAGGCTACTAGAAGAAAGTTATCAGGCTGACACGCATGCAGATACAGTAAAAATATCGAAAACAAACAGACTCAATAGCCAACATGAGTTTGTTTTCTCCAGAACGTTTATGCTGAACTTTACTGTCAATTAAAACAGAATAAGGTTCTTCAATTTGATTTTAGAAGACAACATGCACTCTAGAGACCGACCGATTTGGGGTTTTCTTTTGCCAATAACGATTTGTAGAGGGCATGGTGATATGCCATGCCGATTTTATAGGCCTAGGGGTTTTCTGCCTCATTTCCATGCTGAAATGTCACCAATAACACAACATTTCTGAACCTGAATCAGTTTTTGAACACTGAGTTTAAACAAGTGTACTTGGTATTAAAGTCAAACATTTAACCAAAGTTATTTAAACAAATAAATAAACTGACCAAGTATAAAATAAAAAGCAGGTATATTAAAAAATGTCAGTTGAGGATAATAATTTAGAGCATTATTTAGCAGATGTTTTCAGGAATGTAAATACAGTTAAATAATATTTGGCAGCAGCAATGGGCTGCCCGTGGATGTGCCCTTTTTTTAATCAACTACTAACGAGATACATAAACAATGGTAAATATTGGCCCATTATATATGGCCCATCCCTACTACGATCACTATTTTTCAGAATCAGTTGTACAAAACAGGCCCTTGAGACAAAGTGGAATCGATCAAAGTTGGAGCAAGTCACTGAGCTTTACATACATTTGAAATAGCCTAAAAAATAAGAATTGATGCATCTTTACAAAGACTGACACCAAATTTCAAGCCAAGGCAAAATTCTGCTGCACGAGGAGCTAACCAAAAAAACAGAGGTATAGCGTTGACAGGTTAGCTTGGACTTATAGATCCTCATGTTTCTCGGCTACTTTGGTCTGATTCCTGGTAAAACGAGAACAGTGGGATCAGAGGGCTGCAGAAACAGAAAAATCAGAGACTATTGTGCTAGACCAGCCAGTGATTTAAACCAACACTGGACTCTGGATGGATGAGCTGAGGAGTCAGTTTACAACAGATGCTTAATGCTGAGGAGAAGTCCAGATGTACACAAGACAGTTGTGGTTTTATTTACGGTTATGTTTCGTGTTCTACAGAAACTGATTCGTGTTATCTGAGGTGACAAAACAACCAAGGTGGCATGATGGGAATTCTATAATATGAACCACAAAAGCATGTTTAAATCCAAAGTTTGAATACTTTTTATCTATGTTTACACTTTATCTTAATGTGGAATTGTCGATCATTAATCATTTATATGTGATACTTTGTGACACAGCAGATTCATGGTGGGACTAATTTCATCGTTCAATCTAATGTTGTGTCACAGCTGAACTCAAACGGCATTTTTTTGAGACACACCTTCTGAAACCAGTTTAACACTCAGAGAATAAGCATTTAAATTACTCTTTAGTATTCACTTGTACACAAAGAATAAATAAAAGATGAATAGGTGAGCATTCTTGTTTGAAAATTATTATTTAGTAAGCTGCAGGGAGGGGCTCTTGCTGCTGACACTTCTTATTTATCGTTATCAGCAATAGAAAAATCTGTATCGATCGATGTCTCATCACCATGTGTAATGAAATCAATAGTTTTTAACCCCACTCACCAAACCATCCGCTCCCATTCTTCCTCTTCCAGATACTCTGAAGGTCACCTCAGCCTCCCAGTTTTCAAAGTTGATTTTGTTTTTTGTCCACACCGAGCCCCTCTGACTCCTTAGCGAGGGTGTGATGCGCACCTGGTCTGCACTCGGAATAGCATCTGGAATGAAGAGTCAGTAAGTGTTATAGATCACAAATTACAAACATCAGGGAGACATTGAACTTTTTGAAAGTACAATGGTGGAAAAGTTAAGAGTGGCCTAAATGTGTCCCCCCTTTTTTATCTTTAAATGAAAACTTCCAGTATAACTGATTTGTACCTAGTTAGTAGGTATTATGTGTATAGTGAAATTCTGGCGATGCGATGTGTATCACGATACAGGGGGGACGATACAATATTTCACGATATATTGCGATACATTCAGTCAGACGATATTAGTGATTTTTTTTAGACTGAAATTATTGTAGGTAAGTTCAAAAAACTGTCCAAACTGATACTTAACATGAAGTATCTGAACCATAATAGAGGGAATTACATTTCAATGGTGGAAACAAAACCCATAGCCCACTGCTGCTAACTAGCGGACGGCGTTTGAATTGTACCAAAAGAAAAGAAAATACACACGTTTGCATGTAAATTCTCCAAAAATTAGATACTCGGCTTTTGAATGTTGATATAAAATCGCAGAAAAAAATATTGAAATATTGCCATTTGGATATTTTCTTACATGCCTGAGCCATCTAGACTGACTCCACTCATTGTGGAGGATATCGGTCATAGAAATTAGCAGCATATACTGGCCATCAGCTGACCGTAACCTCTACAGATCGGCATTAACAACAGAAAACCCACATGGGTCAATCTCGTGGAAAGCTACAAGGGTTGGATAACACCAGTACGGCTAGTAGAAAGGCTAGCCCAAACGCATCAAATCCGATTTTTTCCCCCCACAAGCGACCCATATCTTATTTTTTGTGACACTGAACAGCACATATCCGATCTTTTCAAATCCGATCCAGGTCACTTAAGGTAAGTGGTCACTGTAACTTGACCCTTGGCGTATTTGGACTCTCTTTACAAACCTGGCTGCCAGGGGCAGACTTACTGCTTTTGCAAATGAACCTATGGTTGCAAAGATAAACGTGAAATTAAAATGATGAATCGTTAGGGTTTCTGTAGGCTGGTGTAGCCTCTAAATATGTCTGTTTTCTGGTCCTGCGTCTGCCAGTTATACATCAAATCATCTCTGGGTTGTTGTGTCGTTTGGTGAAAACAAAAAGGAGTTGCTGGTTTCCACAGGCAGGATTAGCTGATTAACTCTGACCCTGGATGTGATGTAAGAACCCAAACGAAGGCCTGCTGAACACAGCTGCCCAGTAAAGGGAGTCTGCGTGGAGCTAAAGGTGACCAGCTTCTAACTGGAGTTCCGAACGTGGAGCAGAGCGGCGCTACTTTTTTCTGTCGCGAGCGGAAACCGTTACACCTCGTAAACGCGACCGTCCTCAGCTGTCCTCGCGCCGTATCCGGTTATGAAACTGGAGACTTTTTATCGAGCAGCGGTTCCGTGATGTTGACAGCTGGACGCAAACTTACTTCCAGAGTGGATCCAAAACGGGATACTGCCGTCGGGCTGAGACAGGTGCGGTCCCTTGAAGCTGTATTTGTACTCGAATCGGCGGTGAGGACCCTCCTCCGTCGTTGGGACACCACTGACTGAGACGTCGCCGACACCACGGTGGAATAATAACGTTGTGACAAAAGTTAACATCCACACTTGAGCGTTTACCGCCGGGAGCCGTGCTATGGGCACCGCCATGTTGGTGTCTCACTGCTGACGTAGCGCTCAGACCGCGAGCATGACGGGATGTCTGCAGGGCCAACAGGGCGTTTTCTGATTGGCCGGTTTTGGGCCCTATCGTCTCCCCCGCCCTCTTTGATCTCTGTACAGCTGATTTTAGCCAACATAGTAAAATCACCCAGTCAGCAAAGCAACAGCCCATAAAAAGATAACGCATGTAAACAGCCCCCACTGTATTATTTAGAAAGTAGGAATTTGTTAATGAAATATCAAAATGGGTTTAGGACTGGTAGAGGGACGATGAACGCCATAGTGAGTCTGGAAAATGACATTAGGAAAGCACAGAACAATAAAGAGAGTTTAGTTATTGTTTATTTTGATATTGAGAAAGCATATGACATGGTGTGGAAGGAGGGCTTGCTGATTAAATTAAAAAGGTTGGGGATAGAGGGAAGAACTTATGATTGGATTAAGGACTTTTTGTTTAATAGATACATTCAGATAAAAATAGGTGATAGATTGTCAGAGGGTTATAGGGTTGACAATGGGACGCCACAGGGAAGTGTGATCAGTCCAGTACTATTTTCTATTATGATCAATGATGCGTTTGAAGAGATAGGGTATGATGTTGGGAAACCGTTGTTTGCAGATGATGGAATATTATGGAAAAGGGGAAGGAACATTCAATACTTGCAGAAGAAAATTCAGGAAGCAATAATTAAAGTGGAGAATTGGTCTTTTGAATGGGGATTTAAGTTTTCGGTGGAGTAAACAAAAAGTATGGTCTTCACAAAGAAAACAAATGTTAAGATTGAGCTTAAACTATAAAGGGAACCTTTGGAGCAAGTTTGTAGTTTTAGATATTTGGGTGTTATATTTGATGAAAGGTTGATTTGGAAGGAGAATATTAGTAACATAGTTGAAAGATTGTAAAAAGGTAATAAATATTATGAGGTATTTAAGGGGTAATGATTGGGGGGCTAGTACCAAGGCTTTAAAATGGGTATATATAGCAATGATCAGATCGGTTATTGATTGTGGTAGTATTGTATATAGTTCCGCAAGTAAAACATTACTGAGGAAGATTGAAGTTATTCAAAGTCAGGCTTTGAGAATTTGTTGTGGAGCAATGAAAACCACACCGATAGTGTCCTTACAAGTGGAAATGGGAGAGATGCCATTGATTCTTAGATTCAAGTTGCTGAAATTAAATTATTGGGCTAGTGTACAAGGTAGTACAGAGGATGAGCATATGGTTAAGGGAGAGATGACAGTAGGAGGGCAATGTTTCAATGGACAGTATGAGAGCATGGTCTGGAAATCGTGTAGATTGGCGGAAGCCTTTAAATTAAATGATATAGTTGTTCTTAATAAATTTTTATGTTCACCTACTCTGTCTTGGTTATTTCCAAAAGTGGTGATAGATTTTCATATTCACAATGTAATTAACATACGGAAAGGTGTGGGAAACTGGGATGATGTTGTGGAAGAAAAATTAAATGACGCTCATCAATCATTCATCCCTGTATATAATGACGGGTCGAGAGAGTCAGGACATTTGACAGGGTTTTCTTTCTGGATTCCGAAATTTAGTAAATTTCATAAAAGTCGAACATCTAATAATCTGTCAGTATATACAGGGAAATGTTAGCCATTTCATTTAGTTTACAGTGGATAGAAGAAAACGGTGTTAGGAAAAGTATTATTTGCTCAGACTCCGTGTCTGTATTTTTGTCAATTAGAGAAATGTCAACAGATAAGAGATTAGATATTTTGTATGAGATATTCGAGTGCTTGTTTAGGTTGATGAAGACTGATTCAGAGGTTAGGTTTATGTGGGTTCCAGCTCACCGTGGAGTAGAGGGTAATGAAATAGCTGATTATTATGCAAAGCAGGCAACAACACTGGATACTGTGATGGAGGTTCCATACAGTGTTGCAGAGGTGAAATCAGTTATTAGACAGCAGATTCTGGATGAATGGCAAGAACAATGGATATGGGACGTGAAAGGAAGACATTTGTACAAATTAAAGGGAAAGGTTGGAAAAATGGAAATCGTACACATGAGTAACAGAAATCAAGCAGTGATAACAAGGATGAGACTGGGACATACAGCTTTGAACAGTACACTTTTTATTCTTGGACGGCATAATACCGGTATGTGTGACTGTGGACTTGATAGGGAAACGGTAGAACATGTATTAGGCGCTTCACACGAGGCGCTTCACAAAAACAAAAAATGTAAAAATATGAAACAGAATTTAGAAAATGATTAAAAATATATTTAAAATGAGCAAAAAATAGACAATTGTGATTAAAATGTGTAAAGAAAGAGAGAGAGAGTGAATAGGAAAGAGGGAAATCAGTGGATCCTGAAGAAGGTGGAATAGGGAGAGCAGAATAAAGAGAGGGTGATGAAGATCACGCCAAAACCAGCTTGGGCAATGCAACCGTTGTTTTGTACAGACGTTATCTGCAAACCTAATCCTTGGTTGTACTTTTTAACACACACACACACACACACACACACACACACACACACACACACACACACACACACACACACACACACACACACACACACACACACACACACACACACATTTAATGCAAATACATTAGTTAAGCTGAGAAGCAACATCAGTGTTCACGGGTTTGTTTTTGTTTTGTTACAGCCATTTTTTAACCTGGAAATTAAAAGTTGTAAAATTTAGAAAAAAAGTTTTATTGCTGCGGTAGATTGTTCCAAATCTGAGGTTTTCCAAATGAGAACGAGGATTGATCAAATGATGTTTTGTATTTGAGATTTGCAGTCTCCATTGGCTACTCCTCTGGTTGTGGCTCCTGTGCTGCTGACTTTGATCAGTCTGCTCACCAGCTCTGGGACAAGACCATTTAGACATTTGAATGTCAGTTTTATGACAGAGAAGTTTATAAAGTTATCAGAACTTAGGAGATTGTACTTCTGTATTTTGCAGTGGTGCCACTTCACTGGTTTTTGAGCTGCTTAAGTACTTTTTTTTCTCCCACTGATCAGAAAAGCTCAGCCGCACCTCCACTTCCTTTGCAGACTTGGTAGAGCCAGAGCACCAAAAGCATCCTGGCCAGCTGCGTCACTGCACTCTGTCTGAAGTCTCTGCATCGAATAGTGAGAACATTACCTGACCTGCAAAGCAATGAACAACTGCTCTGTCAGTCTCCTGTCCTCCAGGAGGAGAAGAACCCTCCAGACCAAAACCAGTAGAGAGACAGCTTCATCCATCAGGCTGCTGAAACTTTCCTCTCAGCTCTGATCTCTGCCACTTAAACCCTGGTCAATAGCCAAAGCTCAAATAAGATCAACTCTTTGGTATAGTTCACACTGGCTTAAATACTACTCAAAGGGGACATAATATGCAAAACACATCTTTTGCATTATTTGGTGCTGGCATGTGGGTCTTTGCCTCTATAAACACTCCAAATATTAAAACTATGTCTATCTGTTTTCTGTCAGTGTTTGGTTTAAGGAATTATGTGAGTACAACGAGCCGTTTCAAACAGCCACAAATTAGAATATAGAACCTCCTGTCACTTTCCAGACTGGAGGAGCAGCAGCTCTACTCAGAGCCCCTCCTGGATATGGGCGCTTCTCAGTTTATAGCAGCCTGAGCAGAGGAGTAGTGGGTGTGGCCAGATTGAGCCCATTCTCTTAAAGTGACAGACGCCAGAAACAGCTTATTCTGCAGGTCCTGAAGCTGTCAAGAAAATGTTTGAAACTGCTTTTGTGAGAGGGTTTTGTGCAAAAAACATGAGTATGTTTTGTAGATCTTAGAATTGCCATGTGATTTTCCTCGAAATCTCATCTGTTTTTATTGTACATTCTCTTTTATATATTTTTTTACTTTCTTTACTGACTGTACAACCCCATGAGAGATAGTGTCCTATCGTCTTCTTCTTTTCACTGCAGATTTTCACCTTTTATGTTTTTATTTTAATATTTTACTGTATATTTTACAAACATAAATGCCATTTTAATTGTATGTATGTCATGCATATTTGTTAATCTTGGCAATAAAAATAATTTGAATTGAAAACAGTTTTGAGCAACATTTCAGAGTTTCTGATGGTTTTTCAAAATTCCTCTTTGAATTTTGGCTCATTTTCTCTCATTCTCAGTCCCATACCTGATCAGTTTCTGACAGTGTGTATGTGTGTGTGTGTGTGTGTTTCCAAAACTTGATCATCCAGATCAAGTTTTAGTTTTAGTGAAGTAAGATTTTAAGATTAAAGGTGTTTGTGTCTGACCAGGTTGTAAGCAGAACAAGCTAGGCTACCCTCACTGTTCATTTTCTTTGTCAGACCTTTGGTACAAATCAGATACCTGACTTCTGCAGGATTATTCCAACAACTCTGCAGTTGGGCTAGAGACTGAGTTTGGAGTGCTGGTGGAGCACTTTGTGGAACGTTGTGGCAAAAATCATCTCAGCCTCAATATAACAAAACAAAGATATTCATGGATTTTAGAAGAAACAGGAATGTGTCAAACACTTCTATCATTGGAGATTAAATGGAGGTGGTGGAGGAATATAAACTCCCTTGTGTTCACCTGGACAGCAGACTCAATGGGAAACTCAACAGTAAAGCTATTTACAATATGGGACTGAGCAGACTGAATTACTTGAGGAAGTTGAGATCTTCCAGTGTTTCCAGCAAGATCTTGCAAACCAGCTGTAAGTCTTTTGTGGAGAGAGGAATCTCATCTGCAATCTCTTGAGAAAGCAGCCACAGTTGTCACGAAAAAGCTGAACAACCTGTTAATATATCTCTCCTGGGGACTAGAACTGATCATGCAAAGGAGGGCTTTTTATAAAATGAAGAAAACAATTAGAGAACTAAAAATTCTCTTCACAAGACAGTAGTTTAGGAGTGTCTTAAGTTGGAGGTTTCTGCAGATCTGCTGCAACACAGAGCGTCCCAGAAGATCCGTCCTGCTTGCAGCTAGAACAATGTATAACGTAATTCAACCTCTACATCAGTTGTTGGAGCCAGGAAACATCATCATGTGAAGGCAGCA